GTGATGTGATCAGATGTGGTTTCACTGTTAGGTCAGGATGTTTCTGTTTTTAACCCTGTGCTGAAGCTAAATAATAAAGTTTGTGATTAACTCAGTGAACAGAGTAAATCAATCACGGAGAAAATAACGAGCCGGTTACGTCATGATGAAAGTCTCTTTTAGACCAGATCTTGCTGCGTCACCGTGGCGAGGACGACTTCCTGTTTCCTGTTCACTAACGGTGTCTGTGTTTGTCCTCTGTCAGATGAAGGAGATGACGTGCAGGGAGCTGGTCAAAGAGGTCGCCAAAATGTGAGTCGGCAACATCCAAACTGAACTTTATTGACACTGAACAGACGCTCAGTTCATCAGCCACTTAACTGGATCTGTTAAACTCAAACTCAGACAAATCCTGACACTTGTTTCCTCGTTGTACTGGGGATGGTTCCTCAGGTTATAAAGAGTGTCCAGAGCTCAGGTTCACCACTTAACATATGACGTGTGTTTGTAGATTGACCCTGAAGTCAACATCGGCCCGGTTCCCTCCACAAACAACAAACAACAATAAACAGTTAATGATCCTGACAGGTTTCATTCAGCAGGATCATCTTCACTGATGAGAAACACTTCATGATGTTTGAAGCCTAAATACAATCGGCAGAAGTACAAAACTAATGTTGACTTATAAACCAACTACACCTCAGTCACATGACTTCTTAAGGTGGAATGTTTCTTTAGTTTTTCTGTTTTCAAAGTAAAAGTCCGTCTGTCTCTGATGAGTCTGTTTGATTTTTCTTTTCTTTTTTCCCAGAATCTACATCGTTCACGACGAGGTGAAGGACAAAGCGTTCGAGTTGGAGCTCAGCTGGGTCGGAGAAAGTAAGAACCAATCAGTGCTCTGCTTTTCTTCTTCTCTCACTCTCATCCGTCTGTAGCTTTTTCAAAGCTTCTACTTTTACTTCATGTAGGATTTAAGCCTCTTATGTTGGTAGATGTGCCAGTTCCACACACACACACACACACACACACACACACACACACACACACACACACACCAGAGAAGTAAAAGGTGTGTGTCCGGCTCATAGCTCGGTGTAAAATCCTCTCTCCTGATTGGCTGCTTGGAAGCTCAGTAGAGGAGGCGGTGCCAGCATCTGAGACTTCAGTAAAGGTGTAAACACAGGGGAAGGTGACAGGCTGGTAGTCAGGCTGTTAAACAGGCTGGTGGTCAGGCTATTGATTATATTTGATATTGATATTATATTTATTATTATAAATTAGCTTTTAGTTTTATTTTGGCTTTTAATTGTGACATTCTAGTTAACAACAAAGTCTTGACGTATTTTCTCTGTCCTTCATTTCTTTCCATGTTTCTTCCTCTTCTCTCAGTATCAGTTTTATTGTTTATTTATTTATTGTTTTTTTAGTGGGTGAAGTTTCCAGTCGGTCATTGCTCCTGTGCTAAAAGCTAAAAAGACAGAGCAGTGATTGACCTGACGGAGGTCTGAGCTTGTAATGAAACATATTTATGGAAGTTAATGTGTGAACAGAGGAGCCTGAGAGAAGCTCATTAAATACAGGCACCAATCAACAGTCAGGTGACACTCAGTCATTCATATTTTAAATGTGTCTGTCGGCTCTGAGGTTTCTGAACATGCACCTGCAGGTTAAATTCATCACGCACTGATACAGGAACCTGAACAGGTGAACTACACTTAGCTTTTTGGTTGCCACGGTGACACCCCTGACTCTGCTCCTCTCTCCCTCAGTCACCAACGGACGACACGAGCTGGTACCTAAAGACGTCAGAGAGGAAGCAGAGAAATACGCCAAGGTGAGTCGGACACACCTGTGTTCACCTGTAGCAGCTGCAGTTTGTTTCTCCTGCTCAGTCACTTCCTGGTTGAAACTGTTTGTTTATGTTGTGTAAAAGTAATTAAACAACGGTTTGTTCTGAGCAAGTAATCTGATTGGACGAGAGTCATTGGAGTGCTGATGTAGAGTACAACAGCACTGGGACTTTTAACTCCATGTATCACTCCGCTTCACAGGTGTTCTGTGAACCGATAATTAGCGTCACATTAACGGTCGTTATCCATCTTAGAGAAAGACGGTGTCACCAGACTCTTATTTCACTGGTTGTACGATAAATGGAAACATAGATACGTTTACATACAAGGCAGCTTCCTGACGTAACGCAGGTCTGGAAAATGTTTACGTGTTGCTTAGCAACAGTCCAGTACCAGTCCAGTTGAGGAACTATTTGTGTTTGCGTAGACAAATAAATGATGGAATAAACAAGCAAATCATAATCTGTTGTTGTTTATTAAACTAATAATAAACTTATAGAACTGTTGTATAAAAGCGGCGTCACACTCGAGGTTGTGACGATGTTCTGAACATCAGCACGGCTGTGGTTCGGTCGTAGGTAGGACGCTCGTGTTAAATGATCAGATTTGGTAAACTCTCCACTTTCCTCATTGTTTTTGTGAATTATATGAACACTAATTTTCCTTTTAGGATCAATAATTATTATCAATATTGCTCAATATAGCCTCAAAAGTCTTGATTCAGTCGAGCTGTAGCACTGAAACCTGCTAAGACATGGAGTGAACACACACTCACTCACACACACTGATTCTCATGTCTTTGTGTTTCAGGACTCTCTGGAGGAGGAGGACGACTCTGATGAAGACAACATGTAAACTACCCCCCCCCCCAACACAGTCACTCAGCTCAGACTCATCTGATCCTTTTTTATGTTTTATAGTTGAACATTCATGTCGCTCAGTTCTCTTTTGGTTTGATGATTTTCAGCTTTGAAAATAAAATTTTGAAAAACTGAAGACAGGTTGTTTTTCCTTCTGTCCGACTGACACGCAGGACAGTGTGAGCTGACTCACTGTTGTGTGTTCAGCTCATTATAAACTGTAAACATGAATCTGTTTTCCAAGATCACTGTCGGCAGCAGAGGAAGGGCTTTAGAAATACTAACACAGAAAAGCCCCGGAACATGGGAGTTAAGTTTAAAGGAATTACATGATGAGACAGAAACAGAAGTTGTATACAGAAAACTTTTTGAGATTGATCAAGTTTTGTCCGTAAAACATCAGAAAATTGTTCAAAAATGGCCGTTATAATCTCCCACAGCTGAAGGAAATGTATTCAAGTGGCTTGTTTTATTCTAAAACTGCAGGATATTCAGTTAATTGAGTCAGATCATCACATTTCACAGTTCCTGTTGATTAACCTCTCAGAACAAACATTGTGAAGGTGTCACTTTGGTTCTGGTTGATTGTGGCGACATTTCTCTCTGTTTTCAGAATTTTTAGAAAACAAACCATTAATTTATCGAAGATAATCGGGAGAGAAATCCATAATGAAAATAATTATCAGTTGCAGTCCCACGTGAAATTCCTAATGAGCTCAACAACAGTAACGTCCTGCTTTTACATTAATGCATCAATGATGATATAATGATATGACGTTTACCAGTACAACACACACACACACACACACACACACACACACACACACAGAGGGGACAGTTTACTGATTATATTAATTAACATTCTGAATGCAGAGTATTTCTACAGAGTGGTGTCAGTGCTTTTACTCCAGTGATGGACAGATTAAGACAACATGGGGCACTGACAGGTAAAAGGGCCCCCACCTCCTCAATTTACCCCCAGACTGAGAGTCTCTGGTCAGTTTACATCTTTTACCTGAGCTCTGTGACTTTCAGTCAGTCGGGGGCCTCCTGACCTCTTGGGCCCCTGAGCCTGTGTCTCCCACACATGCTCACACTCACACTCACACACACACTCACACACACACACCTGTCAGTATTATGGCGCTGACTGACCCTCACTTGCCTCTCTCCATTTGCTCTGAGTGTCTTTGTTGTGTAGAAATAACCTCCATGATCCTAAAGAGGAAAACGACATATATGGCTCTGTCGTCACTCTTTTCCTGTTACGTAAAAGCGCCGATGTTCCCGCCCCTTCCCAGTCTTTACAAACGGCGCCACAAACACCGACTGTGTTCAGCTCAAACCGCCGTTTGTTTCCGGGATTCTCCGGTAACAGTCTGTTTTACCGTCCTAACCGCCGTCCTCGTGCTCCAGTTCAGCCCGTTCACTGAATGTTTGTGCGGTAAAGAAAAACAACGTTTGTTGTGGAGCCGTGTTCAACACGATCCCTGATACGTGACGTCTCACGTATGGGAACCGCATCGCCAAACTACATCTTAAAGAGTGTCCACTTAAGGTTTACAGCGGTCACCTGCGAGTTATTGATGGTGTCGAACAAAAATTATGGCCTTAAACAAAGTCACAATAATACTTCTAGTCTTCGGCGGACATGTCACGCAACAAGCAACACGGATATAAATAGAAATTAAACTTTAGTACACTGTTTGACCTCTCTTTCCGGTTATTTCGAGCCAGTAGCATTGACATTGTAGGCGGTGGCATTAAATGCGAATCTTTGTATCTGTTTAGATTTGGGGTAATTTAACTGATGCTTTGTGAGCAGATATACTGGGAGTTCCGGTGGTTTTCAAATTGTATTAAGTTATTTTCTATCACTTACACAGTCGCATCGATAAACATGGAAATATTAACTCTGGCGATTTTTGAACGGAGTTTTGTGGTCAAATCTCCAGCACGTATGGGGCAGGGCTTCCTACACTGTCCGTACAGACAAGGAAGCCCGCTCAGCCAATGGCGACGCGCCGCTGTTGGGAACAAAACGCACGAGGCCAATTGTGATCTCCAGTGGCGGGTTTTTCTTTTGAACTCGTTTCTGATTGGACCACTACCCAGCCGATGCCGTCATTTCCCTCGTGGCGCCGCGTTCGTATCGACCAGTGGCGACACCAGAAGAGGTATGTCCTATTAAAATCGTGGAATCGCTCGACCAATCGCATTTCTTCGTTGGGACTACCGCTGTCACCGCAGCCAATCGCGGGTCGGGAAACAGAGCTCGGGCTCAACAGCTTGTTGTTCGTGAATCGCTTTGCAGCCCGAGAGAGGGGAAGCAGCCGCGGCCGCGTATGTAAGTATAAAAACCTCAGTATTCTGCCCCGAACCAAACTAAAACTTTTAACGAGTGAAATTATCGGTACATCAGGGACAGGAAGCCGGGTGGATGTCACCAGGAGGTTTCCAGTCAGTCGCTGTTGTACCAAGCGGGCTGTGGATTGAATGGCAGCGGCAGTCGGCTTGTTTTTGCAGTGAAGAAATGTGAAGCTCCGGCGCCTTTGTGGAACAGACATTTATTAAATAAATAAATCCACAACAGTTTTTGTTCCGTCGACTGTCACAGATTCTCGTTTGGTTTGATAGAAACTTAGTTTATCCTCCAATCGGGCGCTAATGTTGTCGCTGGCCGAGCCCGCTCCGCTGTTAGCAGACGGTTTAAATCGCCATATGATCCACAAACTAGCTAGTTGAGTCGCTAGTTAGCCAACTAGCTAAATTTAGCTCCGGACCGGAGAGTGAAGACCCCGCTCGCTCCTCCGTTCTCCTTGCGGCAAATGGTCGTTGTTTGGATTTTGTTCGGGTTGGGACTCGGTTGAGTAGCGGTGACCGGGACTCTCCCCCCCCGGCAGCTGGTTGATAGCAGGCGGTTTCGGGGGAGGAGGGGTAAAGTTAGCCGAGCTAGCTGAGCTGACATGGCGAGCTGTGATGGCGACGTGACTCAGAGGAGCTGGGAGCGGAGCGGGAAGGAGCGCTCCGGCTCGTCCTGATCCGCTGCCGCCCTGTGCCCCTTCACCGACCCGCCGTAACCTCCAACCCGCTGGAACTGGCGGCTCCATGTTCAGTCCAAGTAACTGTTGTTAGCCGAGTTAGTGTGAGCTGTTGGTGCCACATATTTGATCTGATCCGGGCATAGAGGGGGTGGGAGGGGGGCTGCAACGAGCCACACAAGAATGCCTGAGCTAACATAAGTGAGAGGCTAGTTGGTTAGCTTAGCATTATTTTACAACCTCAGGACAGTTTGACACTGCCCCTGTCTGTCCTCTGTTGTTCCGCCAACTTTAACCACAGGTCCCGTCCTGTTTGTGTCTTTCAGAGATCCACAGTCTTTCGAGCTGGACTCCCTCAAATAGCCGTAAAGATGAAGGTGAGTGATTGACCTGCGACACAAACTGAAGATAATGTTCCCACTCTGAGCTCCATGTCTACGCACTATCCAGCTGGAACCAGCTCCTGATCAGTTAAACTGGGCTCTGATGGCCGTGTACTGGTGTCTTTCCAGTTAAGAGCCTCGTCTCTGTCCAGTTTACTTCCAGCTTGTTTTATCATTTTACATCGGAGGCGTCTGGGTTGATGATCACATTGGTGTCACAGTAATGAGCCACTGTTTTCATCAAAGTACACCATGTCCATTATTCTAAATAAGGCTCAGACAATCAGCCGATGAATCTGTGTGTCAGCTGTTGATGAAAGATTAATGGTTTTAGACACTTTTCAAGCATAAATGTCAAATGTGTGCCTGTCCCATTCTCACAGCTGAGCGTTTGATGCTTGTTTTTATTCATGACAGTAAATTAGTATCTTTGGTCAGATAAAACAAGCAATTTGAATATTTCATCTTGGGCTTTTTCACTATTTTCTGACATTTTATAGACAAAAAAATTTACAAGGAAGTCATCTGCAGATTAATTGATATTGAAAATAATTATTAGCTCCATCCCTAATCCTCAAAGACACATATGTCTTGCCACTACTAGATATATTCATTCCCTCTGCTGTACAACAAGAGAGCATCTTGATAATTTCTGAAGGGTTCAGCTGCATCCCAAGACTCAGACAAAGACAGTTAATGAAAGCACGTCACTTATCTGGTTGCATCTTAGTTTCAGTTCAGGTCTCACGATGCACCTTGTGAAACTGATAAAATGATCCTTCACAGTGTAGCAGAGGAAAGATGGTGTGTTGAACTAGCAGCCACATTACTCAGTTTCGTTTGTGTTTATTTTTGAGGAAAACAGCAGCTTATTTATTTATGTGACTGAGATGCAGTTATTACCACAGAAGTCTTAAATGTAAAAGTGATTATTGAACAAACTGGGACTGCATCCAGCTCACGCCATAACTAGTTAAACAAACATAACAAGCTCCTGTGCAGACTGATGGAGACTCCAACAGCACTCATTAATCTGCCCTGAAGGAAACAAATATAAACAGACAGGCCCATTCATCTGGAGAATCAGACTGGGTTCAGTTTAGTTAAACTCTGTCCAGCTTATACCTCAGCATCAGTTTGACTCACTGAGCCGCCGTAAACAGACACATCAATACTCAGATAAGGTAAAAGAAAACTGTACCTGGGTCGTTACACTGCTTTTCCACACAGTGTCAGATTCAGCAAAACACTTCCAGTGTCTGAACCCTCCAAAGTAAAGGTCGGGAGAAATATTACTGCTTCCAGACTTCAGTGATATGTGTGTTATTTACTCTTCTCTCTGAGTTGCTGAACTCATCACGTGATAATAACCTGATGACTAAATAAGAACACAGAACCAGAGACGCGTGACAGCAGACAGAATATTATCAGGATCAGTACTGACTCCATGGGTCTGAGTTTCTCTGGTGACCAAATGAAGCATAACACCCGCAGCTTCACGTTGACTACAGAGTGATGTCACCAGAAGGTCGCTGACATCAGGAATGAAGGGCAATCCTATTGGCTGTTCGGTGGTCAGAAATAATTGTTGAACCTATTTAGCCCTTTATTTATCTTTTTGTTCAATTTCCTGTTTTGTCTCTGAACGCCTGTTCACTGTTGCTGGTTCTTGTAAACACAAGTAAAAGTCTCGGTCCTGGTTCAAACAGCATATATGAGGGGATCATGTGACCTGACACCACTACGTCCACCACAGATACCGCATTCAAAAACAGACCATCTGTAACTAACTAACTAAGATTTAGTACTTCAAGCTCACGGTGTTGTAGCAGCACATTAGCCTGATGCTTCTGTGGCAAAACATTTAAGCTCTGATGTTTAACTTGTGTGATGATGCAGTTTGTTAAGTCATTTACATGATTTGAAGTTTCCACAAACGATCACTGAACCTCCTGGTTTCTGGCTGAACTGCAACAGCAGGGCCAGACCAATAAAAACGAGTGTCACTGACTGACTGAGTGACAGAGTTGAGTCACTAGGTTAATCCATTCGTCGGCTGGTCGAGTGTTGGTGTTTCCCCATTGGCCATTTCTCTTTCAAAATGAATCGGCACAGACAGTTTCTATTCGGGGGCGTTCACAGCTGCAGTGTTGACAAATTTAGAGAATCTTTTTTTTTTTTTTTTTGCACAAAAGCACCTTGTAACAAATCTAGAGACTTTCTGGACAAACCATATCTATTCGAGTCTCAAGTGCTGTGGATTTTAATAAAACAACTTCACCACTACTACGTTTCCGTTTTAAAACGCATCTCTTTTGCTACGTTTTCGCCTCCCGTCCACACTCCTCTGAAGACTTTTGGAAATGCTGCTGGACCTGTTTTATTTTGAAAGCTCTGGGCTTGTGTTGTAATCTGGACGGACAGAAACTGAGACCTTTGGAAACGATGATGTAGACACCCATGGTCTCTCCTGATTGGCTCTCATCAGCCTGGACTACCATTGGTGAATACAACATGATGATGAATTACAGTGTTACTGACCTTGTTGTCTTTGCAGCTGTTGTTCACTTACATTCTCTATTTTAACGCTACAACTGTCTTTGCTGTTCCTCTACTGCAGAGTAGACACTCTACTTCCTGTTTACACTGGCTCGCACATGCTCAGTGTAGGTGAATGGTCATATGTATGTGCGTGTTTTCAGGTGTTAGTCTGAAAGGAGATAGTTTGCGTTTGAAAACGCTGTTTTAAAATAAAATCGTAGTGGTGTGGACGCAGCCTGAGACTGTAGTAGTAGTAAGTGTCCTTCTACTCTGGTTCAGGTGAAAGTGGTCACATGTCTCCACAGTGGGACATGTTCGCACGGATAGGAAATTAAATGACAAGTATCAGAGTTGGGACTAAATTCATCAGTAACCGGGTCACAGTCGGGTTTTCTCCACTGATCTGACGACTTAAACATGAACCAGAAACCTGCTCTCTACAGGAGAAGGCTGATTTCTCGCTCACGTCCAAGAGAAGAGATGCAAAACAATTCAACTGAAACTGACTCTTGAGTTACAAGTTTTTCAAAGTCTAAAATCCTGAAATGAAAAGTTTTATTTCTAAACACAGGAGGAGGATAGTTTGGTCTCGTGATCTCTAACTGAACGATATCCGGTGCGTTCATCGTCCCCTTTAGACCAGGTCTGACTTCACCTTTCAACATGTCGGTCGCTCAGGTGTGTTTATGTTCAGCTGCCTTAGTTCGATTGTTGATTCGATCCTGCAACTGAAACACCTCAGGTCTCAGTGACGACTTCAGACTGTCGCTACAACCATTAATTGATCAGTCAATCAACAAGGAATCAATCTGAAACTATTGTAATAATGAACTTTTTCTGGTTCCAGTTCGTCAGATGTGATGATTTGAATCATGGTGAACTGAACGTCTCAAGGGTTTGGACTGTTGTTGACCAACACATCACATCCGCCATTTTACAGACAAAACACTTCTAATCAGAGTTATTGATGAAAGCTTAAATATGAATCAGACCACACTGTTGGAGATGGAGGAGACATCAGCAGCGTTAGCCTGTCTGCTGTTGTGAAGCTAATGATAGCTGCTAACTATGATACAATGACTAAAGAGACAGAGACAAGCTCATTGCAGAAAGACAGCAGCTTCAGTGTGTGTGTATGTGTGTGTGTGTGTGTGTATCTTGATGTTACTGATGTATGTGTATCCTGATGTTACTGATGTGTGTGTGTGTGTGTGTGTGTGTGTGTTTCAGGCAGCAGATGAGCCTGCCTACCTGACAGTGGGGACGGATGTCAGTGCCAAGTACAGAGGAGCCTTCTGCGAGGCCAAGATCAAGACCGTGAAGCGCATGGTGAAGGTCAAGGTAAGACCCACAGGAACCAGGTTCACCCGCAGACAGGAAGTCCACGTTCAGACCCGAGCAGGTCGTCTGAATCCTCTGTCACATAAACAACAAAGTGCGTCTGATCTCTGTTCCCTGCGTGTCTGGAACAGCTGCAGTGTGATTTATTTTGCTCTGTTTAAAAAAAAAAAAAAAACCCTGACTCAGACTCTGAGTCCACAGCAGACCTGAGACGTCAGTGATGTGTGATCTCGACTGAAGCGTCCAGTCGTGGAGTGCACACTGACCCGAAGTCTGGACCAGCGTGTCCGTCTTCATCAGACACTTCCTGCTCAGAAACAGTCGACCAGTCTTCACAAGGACTACGCAGTCAGAAAACTGAAGTTGTTTCTATTATCATCGATGTTACACACAGAAACTCTTTTTTTTTTTTCTCTAAATACTTCAACACCCATGAGCCTCAGCTGCTGTTGCCATGGAGAAGAAGCCAGTCAGAGCAGGTGATGCAGCGACGTTATTCCTGAATTCAACCACAACCACGATTTCAGCTGCAGTTTTAAAGTCAGCATCATCACCATCATCTTCTTCTTTCTCCCGCCATGTTAAAATGGATCAGTGTGGGCGGAGCCTGAGCTGACCGTCACCAGCTGGTGGCATGTCCTGTCCAGACATGAGACATGTAACATGGCTGCCTCTCTCTGTTAGTCATTTATTTGAGCGATCAGTGTGGGCGGAGCCTCAGTTCGAGTCCAGGGATCAGTGTTTACGCCTGTCACTCAGGTACAGCCTGAATTTGTTGAGTGCAGAGCTCCTGCAACAGTTATCGCTTAATAACAATAATCATTAGTAGAGCTGAAACAATTTGTTTATTAATTGATTACTTAATCAAAAAAAAAATCTCTCTAGATAATTAGTTATTTACAAACTAAAGTGTGAAACAGTCTCAGGTTCTCAAGCTGCAGGAGTTTCTCTTTTTGTCATATTGTTCTGAACTGAATCTCTTCAGGTTTTCACCTCACTGGAGTATTTCTCCACATCTCTTTGACTTTTTATAAACCAACCGTTTATTAATGTTGATTAATTGATAATGAAAATATTAGTTAGTGGCTGATCATTAGTTATACTTCGGTGTCGAACACTGATCGTGGAGGTGAAGGCTGCTGACGTCCTGATTGGCTGTCGGGGAGCAGTGATGATGCTGAGAAAAGGTTTTGCTCAATGACCTGATGATGTCACGTGATGTCACATCTTCTCTTGGCTATCTGACCAATCCTCAGCTGTGACCCGTCAGTTAGTCGTTTCTGAATGAAGTGAGAAAAAATAGCGCCAGCTCTGGGTGAAGTGTTGGAGGGAAGGAAGTGTTTTAAAATATTTAATTTAGACGTGTGAAGGAAAGTTTTATTTTGACAGCAGGAAGTCCGAAGGAAGCCGGACAGCTCGAGTTAAAGTCAGTGTTGGTTAGTCGTGTGTTTCACTACATCCTGAAGTGATGAGCTGTGAATCTCTCACTCTGTAAACTGGAATACTGACTCTCTCTCTCTGTCTCTCTCTCTGTCTCTCTCTCTCTCTCTCTGTCTCCGTCTGTCGCTCGCTCTCTCTCTCTCCAGGTGACTCTAAAAGGTGAAAGCACGTCCCAGGTGGTGCAGGACGACCAGGTGAAAGGACCTCTGAGGGTAAGATGATGATGATGAGTGTCTGTGTTCAGGTTTGACTGATATGACAGGTGATCTGTGCCTCCTCGTGAATTCAGTTCATACGGAAATTTAAAGAAAGAAAACTGAATGTGACACATTGTGTTAAATCGTGTGTGTGTGTGTGTGTGTGAAGACTGTTGTTGTTGTTGTTGTTGTTGTGTGTTTTTAAAATTTTCCTCATCATTATGGAGTAAACATGTTCTGAGTAAAAAGAAAACGTGTCGTGAGCCTGACGCTGTGATTGGTTCAGGTGGGCTCCACTGTGGAGGTGAAGACCAACGAGGGTTTATCCAGCGAGGCCGTCATCAGTAAGCTGACAGACGCCAGTCTCTACACTGTGGGTGAGTGTCTGCTGATTGGTCCATACTCACCACTGAGTGTGTGTGTATTACATCATATCTGTACTAACGTGGTGAACATGTTAAACATTATACCTGCTGCACGTATGCATGTTAGCATTGTCATTTTGAGCATGTTAGCATGCTGTTAGCATGTAGCTCAAAGCATCGCTGAATCTGATTGGCTTTAACAAAATCTGCTGTCTGTAGACGTCGTGTTGTGATTGGTTGTCTGTGGACGTGTTGTGATTGGCTGTCTGTAGACGTCGTGTTGTGATTGGCTGTCTGTGGGCGTGTTGTGATTGGCTGTCTGTGGACGTCGTGTTGTGATTGGCTGTCTGTGGACGTGTTGTGATTGGCTGTCTGTGGGCGTGTTGTGATTGGCTGTCTGTGGACGTCGTGTTGTGATTGGCTGTCTGTGGACGTGGTGTGATTGGCTGTCGGGGAGGAATGATGATGCTGAGAAAAGGTTTCGCTCAATGAGCTGATGATGTCATGTGATGTCACATCTTCTCTTGGCTGTCTGACCAATCCCCTGCCAGTTGACCTTCACACTGATTGTTGGACTGTGATAACTGGAGTGTGTTTGTGTGTTTCAGTGTTTGATGATGGAGATGAGAAGACTCTCCGTCGTACGTCTCTGTGTCTGAAGGGAGAGAGACATTTTGCAGAGAGTGAGGTGAGTCACACACACGGAGAGAGGGACTACTTGTCTGTACTACCACTGCTATTTGTACTGCCTGTATCCTTCCACCAGAAAGTCTTTCAACTTAACAAATATCTAAAGTCGTCTCAATGTAAGACCATAAAGATTAAAATATACGTGTTCATCATGCTCTGTCGCTCTCAGACTTTGGACCAGCTGCCGTTGACAAACCCGGAGCATTTCGGCACGCCGGTCATGGGCAAGAAGTCAAACCGTGGTGGACGGCGTTCCTCCCAGGCTGTGTGAGTTTCATGTATTTAAACTCTGCTTACATGCAACACACACAACACGTGTACAAGCAAAACTAATTCCACCAGGGAAGAGTATATGAAATGTTTGTACGTATACAGTGATACGTTCACACCCTGTCGGGAGAGATGGTGGTTTTCAACCCTTCGTTAAATGTTGAAAGTGGAACCTAATTAAATTGAAGGGATTTCTCTCTCTCTCTCTCTCTCTCTGTCCTCTCTCTCTCTCTTTCTGTCTCTCTCTCTCTCTCTCTCTCTCTCTCTCTCTCTCTCTCTCTCTCTCAGGGCTGATGAGGAGAACGAGTCTTCGTCCAGTGAGGATGAGGAGGAGGACAGGAGGAGGCTGAACGACGAGCTGCTGGGGAAGGTCTGCAGCATCGAGGATGAGGAGGAGCCCAGCAGCTGGTACCTGGCTCTGGTAAACACACACACACACACACACACACACACACACACACACACACACACACACACACACACACACACACACACACACACACACACACACACACACACACACCCACCCCTCCACCTGTCTGTCACATGACCACGCTCTGACTGCAGGTGTGTGTCTGTCCTGCAGGTGGTGTCTCCGAGCTGTAACGATGAGCTGGTGGTGAAGAAGGATCAGTGTCTGGTCAGATCGTTCAGCGACTCAAAGTTGTGAGTTTGTTTCTATTATTATTGATCTGTGATCAGAAGCTTTGACAGTTTGATCAGAAACTGATCAACTCGCTCTCACCCTCCTCCTCCTGATTCATCCCACAGCCACACGGTGGCGAGGAGACACGTCCACGCCGTCAACTCCATCAGCATCGCCAGGTCCGAGTTCTCCAGCAGGAGAGGTGAGGCACTACAAACCCCCACAATGCAACAGGCCACTGACTCACAGCCAGAGCTCTTTTTTTCTTTTTCTCTTAAAACTTTTCAACTGCTGCTTCTCCTCTGTTTTTGACCTCCACCTCCTTTTACTCCTCACCCCCCCCTTTTGTCATCTTCCTCTTACTCTTCCTCCCTCTTTTCTTTCTCCTCTTCTCATTCCTCCTCCTTCTTCTTCTTTACTCCTCCCTGCCTATCTTCCCTCTCCTCCTCCTGCAGGTTTTGAAGCAGCCCAGATGTTCCTGAGGAGCAGGGAGGTTCCAGATGTGTGGAAGATGGACATGAGTCAGATCCTGGACTCGTCCTCCAGCGACGATGAGGACGATGAAGAGGAGAAGGAGAGTGACGAAGAGGAGGAGGACGAAGACGAGAAGAAAAAGAAGAAGCTCATAAAGGAGGAGGTGAGGGTGTGATGAGAGAGGCTGCTGTGTGAGGACGTCCTGCTGGGGGGGGCAGATCCTAACCCACCTGTGTTTGTGTTCAGCCGGAGGAGGAGCCGGACCCGGAGGAGAGGGACCACTTCCTGCAGCAGCTCTACAAGTTCATGGAGGACAGAGGTGAGTCGGCTGCGGGCCTCAGACTGGGTTTAGAGTTACAGACACTAAATAACTATGTTTTTAAAAACAGTTAAAATGATGATTATAGTTTATTGATTCATTTTTCCCAATTCAATAAAACTGTTAACGATGGAAACTACAGCAACAGAGAGAAAAAAAACAATATATTTTAATATAAGATTATCATCATGATTGATCAATTAAAATACAACAAACGATTATCCACAAGCATTAATGAAAATCAAACCAACGATAAAATAATAAAAGGAAATTTTACATGTTATTTGCTCTCAAAATTTCTGCATCATGGATGGAATTAACCACAACGTATTCTCCTTAATCAAAGAAGAGAAACAGATTCTATTATTGTAAAACATCATTTTAGATCATATTTGTCTTGGGTATGAATGAGATTCATGCTGTAAATTGTTCCTGTAACCTGGTGTGTTATTAAAAATGTTAATGTTTACATTAGGAAGGGACCCAAAGGAAATTATTTCCTTTTCCATTAAACATGACAACAGTGTAGACAGAGTGTGTGAACAGCTGCACACGGCGTCTTCTTCACATCCTGCACGTAGCGTTGCTTTAGTCCAGCTCTTGAAATGCAGCCGCTCATCTGTCCGTAGCTGCGTCTGCCATGTTGTCTCTCGCAAATCATGTGACCTGATCTGGTTGTGCGAGACGGAAGGCTGGTGACGGAGGTTACAGCTACAGACATGAAGTCTTTTACAGTCTTACATACTTCAGTGAGTATAGACCCATGTCTGGATTTTATGAGTCGATATTGGATTATTCAGGTGAAGATCAATTTGAATCTGAGAATCAATTTTTTTTCAGCCCTTATTGTTGACGTTAAAAACAATGAGAGCGTGGAGCAGCTCCCTGAGCAGCGGAGTACAAAAGAAAGACGGCAATATTTGTTTAAAGTGATCCATTTAAAATGAATCTGTTTCTCAATTTGGAGACTCATCATGACTCATTATGTAAACGAGGCAGACACATTCCACTCGTACGAAGCGACACAGAGTTTGGCCACGGGAAGGTTTGGGTGTGTCGTCGTCGAGTTGTTTCATGAGACGTATCATCAGAACAAATGTCCCATCGTCGCTGGTGGGCGGCGACGTGTCGGACAGCTGGAATAACATTTACCCGAAGTTTGCGTGGTGAACCGGAGACGCTGAGTCGCTGTGACCTGTGTGACGGTGGCGGCAGTGATGGTGTGGTGGAGGTCAGCGTTGGGGGATGGATGTGATGAGCAATATCACGTTTCATGACGGTGTTTAGGACGGTGGTTCTTCAGCTCCTCATCGTGGCCCTCAGATTTATCCACCTGTGGAACCACTTCCTGTCCTACCTGAAGGGTTTTATAACAATAATAATAATAATAATAACTTTATTTATATAGCACCTTTTTAAAAACACAGTTCACAAAGTGCTTTGACAAATGAATCAGAAGCAGGACAGCGATAAGGTCGAGTTACAGAGACAAATAATGTGCTTCAATATAAACAAGGACAATTGGAGGGAGCAGATGCTGCATAAAAACGCACAGTAAAAGCAATAAAAGGGCAACACGGAGACGATAAACAGACGATTAAAAAGACAATAAAAAGTCTATAAAGATGAGTTTTAAGAAGTGATTTAAAAGAAGTTACTGATTCTGTTTGAATTGTTCCTTTTTAAAACTTCTGTCTGTTTATCAGGGACTCCCATCAACAAACCTCCAGTGTTGGGTTATAAAGACCTGAACCTCTTCAAGCTCTTCAGACTGGTCTATCACCTGGGAGGCTGCCACAAGGTGAGGCCTGTCCCCCTGTCTGTCCCCCTGTCTGTCCCCCTGTCTGTCCACCTGTCTGTCCACCTGTCTGTCTGCAGAGTGATTCGCTGAAGACACACTCAAACATTGACTCACATCCACTCCCTGCACATCGTGTATCTGTGATGTCACTGTTGATCTGAGCTGGTGATCAGTCCAACAGTTCAGGACGAGGAGTCAAAACAATTTATCGTCTCTCTTCACTGATGAACTGAGACACTGTGAGAGATTACATTGATCAATATGAGTTAATTAAAGGTCCATTATAGTATAAATGTAGATGTCCATGTGTCCTTTGATTATAAAGCAGGTCTGGGTTCTATATTAACACTGTGAAAGGTGTGATGATGCTGAGAAAGGTTTCGCATGCTGGACTGAAGTCCTGTGATGTCACTTCCTCTTGGCTGTCTGACCGCAGCTGATTACAGAGACAAACAGCTGGAGGTGATGTAGCTTTGAACTGACTGTCTCTTCTTCTGTGTGTGTGTGTGTGTGTGTGTGTGTGTGTGTGTGTGTGTGTGTGTGTGTGTGTGTGTTTTAGATCGAGTCGGGGACGGTGTGGAAGCAGGTCTACATGGATCTGGGGATCCCTGTCTTGAACTCTGCTGCGTCCTATAACGTTAAGACGGCCTACAGGAAGTAAGAGAACACAGCTGCTCACTCACATCACTTATTTTTTTTTATCAATAAGTGTTCACCTGAAGTCGATTGTTTCTGTTCATTACACGACTTCACTTCCTCAACCACTGCCACCAATTTCCATCAGTCGTCATGAGACGCCGTGACTGTGGTCCACAATAAGACTTTCTCTTTGTTTTACCTTATAAAGTTGTCATTTGTGTCAAGAGCTACACAGATTCAGAATCAGCACAACTTCAGCTATTTATATATGTCACTCAATAAAGAGTTCTGTACAGTATAAAAGTGGTTAATAGACCATAAAATTAAAACAAGAAACAGATAAATACAAGCTACAAACCATAAAAGAAGGAAAGAAAACTTCAACTCAGAATTTTGCACAGATCCAAACCTTCAGCTGCACCAACTCTCTGACTGGTCACATCCTTCTGTCTGTTCTGTCTCTGGAATAAACTGACAGCCAAGTGACGTGTCTGTAGACGTCGTTAAAGATGGCGCATGAGAATCGATCTATCGTTCAGTGACTCACGCAGATGAACAGGGGCTTGTTAAAAACAAAAGCTGATTCTCTAGTTTAAGATCGGGAAATAAAGCATGTCTCTGTCTCCGACCATCGCGGAGTCATGACGCTCTAAAGACGACGTGATATTTCCCGTCACTCTCCTGGTTTTCTGAGCCGTGTCCTCCGTGTCCTCAGGTACCTGTACGGGTTCGAGGAGTACTGCCGCTCCGCCTGCATCACCTTCAGGACCATCCATCACAACAACCCCCGCCCTCCCACCACACTGGCCAGTCAGAAGACGGCAGGGGTGGAGCTCAAAGAGCCCTCCACGCCGCAGGTGAAGGCGGAGCCAGTCGATGACAAGAGGGAAGAGGTGGAGTCGGAGAGTGAGAGCGAGAAGGAGGAGGTGAAGGAGAGACAGTCGTCACCGAGGGTGAGACATTTAAATAAAACACAAACTCATTTACAGCCTTTAACAACGTCCTGAGTGTTTCTCTAAATATTCATCAGAGGTTTGGAAATAAACATCTGGAGTTATTATTAATTATTAGTTTAACACTCACTCGTATAATGATCTGCTTCATTAGGACTGAGTTTTTATTGTATTTGATTGAAATTGATACTGAAGCATCAACACTGAAGAACCAACAGCTGCAGTTCCTCTAATGACCACTAGAGTCTGGCTCCAACAGTGAGTCAGTCCCCATAGACTCCCATGTTAAAATGTCCAACTTTACAGCAGAAATAAACATGTTTACAGCCTGGTACAAAAACTGTTTTGGCCTCTAGAACTAATTTCCTCCTTCATGACACCTGTTTATATAACTCACCTGTTTACATTTTATTAAGGACTAAAGTTACGGAGGATTGAGGGCGTGGCCTCTTTGAGTGACAGGTAGGTGAGCGTATACCTGCCACAAACCTCTCAGCTCCACACACGCCCCTCCTCTTTGTCCATTTTTGGATGAGCAGGAAGTTAGGGGGTGGTGTCAGACACTGCCAAAATAGCAACGGTAGAGCAGCTCACTCTGAGCTTCAGAAACCTGTGGGTGACGTCACAGAGGCGACGTCCATCTTTATTTACAGTCTCTGATCGCGAGTAGATTCTGAATCGACTCGACAGATTAAATACTGAGTTATAACTTTATAACTTCAGTCTCTAAACGAGCTGACCCTCCTGCTGCTGTCTGTCTCTCCTCAGGGGAGGAGGAGGTGTGTGGGGAGTCAGTTGAAGGTGGAGAGAGAGCCGTCCTCCAGACCAGAGAAAAGAGGAGGAGAGAACAGTGAGGAGCAGAGGGAAGTGAGGAGACGCAGCAACAGAAGAATGGACGACTCGGAGAAAGGCTCCGAGGAAGAGGAGGAGGACGAAGATGATGATGAGGAGGAGGAGGGAGAAAGGAGGAGAGGGGACAGGTGAGAGCGACACACACACACTAACAGTTGGAGCTGAATGTGTTTTTAGACTTTGACTTGATGTTCTGAGGTTCATGTACAACAGTGTCTGATGTCAGGACTCCACAAGCATCAGATCCTTCACCACAACAACAACAACAACAACAACAACAACAACAACAACTACTACTACTAATACCACACCACAGCTGAAACCAGCAGTTACTATTAATACGATCAATCAATGATCGTTTTGTCTCTAAAATGAAAAAAAACAGATTCAGTTTACATCGACGTCACATTAGAGGAGCGGGAACCTGCAGCTGTTATGATCTTTACTTTATCAGAATAGTTTCAGCTCCACAGTTTAGAAACTCTCAACATTAACAAGTAAAAGCATTTTTTTTTATTTTAAATGCCGGTAAACCTTCCGGTAAAAGACGAGTTATGTCTGAGAGAGCACACACACACACACACACACACACACACACACACACCACACACACACACACACACACTACATTCGCTGTGAAGACACATAATAAATTCCCTAACCTGATTCTAACTATTGCTGACCGATAAATCGTATTTTCATCGTCATTGCAAAAGAATATAAAGAACATGTGACTCAGTCCAGACTCGTGCTCACTGTAACAGGTGATAGCTCATTAAACTAAACAAAAACACACCTTTCTTTCTATCTTTCTGTTCCTGAGTTCTGCTCATTCTCTGGAGCAGTTTTCATCATCGTTTCTTTTCTTCTCCTTGAAAAATCAGCTCCAAACCTTCAGCTGCTCTAAATCTCTGACTGCTCACATCCTTCTGTTTTCTGTCACTGTGGAATAAACCTAAAACAACTTCTCTTCACTCTGATCTCAGAATAAAACAGTACTGCTCCCATTTAGTTTGGGTATTTAACAACTGACAGCCAAGCCTCTTAATCAGATACTCTGATTGGCCGTGACGGCACCCACTGGAGCCAATAGGAGTGTCTGATTCAGTGACGTGACTCTAGACGTCACTAAACACACAGACAGAAAGCAGCAATGTGCCAGACCAACCGTGAGACTGTCCAAATCGTATCTAACTTTACATATTAGGTTATAGACAGAAGACGGTGACACACATGGACAAACAGGGACTTGATGGAAAGAGCTGATTCTCTAGTTTAATGTGATAAAATTGCAGCTCTCTAACTCAAACTGAGGTGCAGTTATGGCGCCCTAAAGACGGCGTGATATTTGGGAGTGTAATCATAATTTGATCCTCTGTGGACTGACGTGTGTGTGTGTGTGTGTGTGTGTGTGTGTGTGTGTGTGTGTCAGGAGTGAGGATGAGGAGGATGGAGACTCTGTGACGGGGACGAAGGTGCGGGTGAAGTACGGCAAAGGAAAGACTCAGAAGATCTACGAGGCTCACATCAAGAAGACGGACATAGACAACGGAGAACAGTTCTACCTGGTCCACTACTACGGCTGGAACGTCAGGTCAGAACCTGTTCTGGTCCAAGAGTCTGAGTCACGGCTCCGACTGAGGACGGAGAGGAGGTGTCTGTGAAGAGCTCAGACTCGTCACCACACACCTCCTCCCTCTTCACAGGGTGAAGGCTTCGCTCTGTTGATGACCTCACTCCTGGTTCTGACTCTCGTCTGTTTGGGTAATACTTGTCCAGGTAGAGTTTGGGGCGGAGTCTGTCCTGACAGGTGTGTCTGCTCCACAGGTACGATGAATGGGTGAAGGCTGACAGGATCATCTGGCCCGCGGAGAAAGGAACAAAGAAGAGACAGAGGAAGAAGGTGAAGGTGAGATGTCACATCAAACTGTTTCCTGTGAGCTCAGTGGGTCACGTGACCCGTCGAAGGCCGGGTGTGATGATGCCCAGAAAGGTTTCGCATGCTGGACTGAAGTCCTGTGATGTCACTTCCTCTTGGCTGTCTGACCAGAGCCTGATGAGCTTCACTGTCCAATCAGGAGCAGGGAGGTGCAGGGTGGGGCGGGGTTAGTTTCACAGTTTGCACATGATTTCTCTGGTGTGATTGTCACTCAAGGTTTACTTCCTGTTTTCAGACGTTGGCGCTGTGACTGACGTCATGTTGGCGTGCAGATGTCTGTGGGGTTGTCGTCAATCGTGAAACGTGAAGTTTGGGGCAAATATTCTAGTTATAGCAACTTCATTGAAATTCACAACGCCGCCACAGTTTGACAAAAACTCAGTTTTCGTCGTGGTCTTAGGCAGATTCTGACCAAATCTGAGGTGGGTGTGGTCAACCTGTCAGGAGGAGTACAGGTGTAATAAGGTGGCGCTATGATCATATAAGTGAATATTGACATATCGATGTCGTCAGGCTGAAACTCAAGTTTGGACAATGTGTTCTGGAGTGATAAGAACTTCCTGTTTCATGGCGGACTTCTGGTTGGGTTCAGGATATGGCTCCAAGAGGTTTTTTTGTAAATCTGCATTTCTTACACATGGTTACCAATTTTCATACATCTAGGTGAAACGTACTGCGGGGGCTACTTTGATGAAATTTTGTAGGGGTCGCCCTCGAGCCATTTTGCCGCGCCCAATCTCAACACCAATGTAGACGTCTTCGGGCCGAGACTCTTATCAAACGTATAAAGTTTGGTGCAGTGTGGACAAGGTGTGCTGGAGTTATAAGAACTTCCTGTTTCATGGTGGAACATCCTGCCACAGGCCGGATGGTCACGGTCTTAATATTACAATGAGCAGATATGATGTTGATATGATTTTCTAGGAGAAGTTTGTAAATTCAATATGGCTGACTTCCTGTTAGGTTAGGGAGGGTGCAAGAGGCTTTTTTGTACGTCTTGGCAAGTTACCTGTGCCGACCGTTCAGTGCTCACGCCCTAAAAATAATAATGACGCTGTGAAGAACAGGAACTACAGTGAAACCCCGTCCTCACTGCCGTCTGTCTCCTCAGAACAAAGACGATGTGGAGAAGGACCGAGATGAAGAGAAGCCACCGGTGAAGCCGCCGGGAGCAAAGCGCGGTCGTCCTCAGATCAGAACCACGCCCACCAGCTCAGCCGGACGCAGCGTCTCCAAAACACCCAGCAACGAGGGACGGTCCAACGGCAAGAGCAGCAGGACGGAGACATCGTCCAACATGGCCAACGGAGACAGTAAGACACTGAAACTAAAGAATCAGCTGATACACATGTGATCTGGTGTGTGTGTGTGTGTGTGTGTGTGTGTGTGTGTGTGTGTGTGTGTGTCCTGTCTGTCCTCTGACGTGTCTCCTCTCTGCAGACACTCCTCGCAGGAGAACCAGGAGGACGTCGGGCATGTACGACTCAGACAGAGCGTCCATCGGTGAGAAAAACAACCGTCTTCTTCTACTTCCTGTTGTTGAACCAGTTTCATCATCAGTAACTGACCAATCCGTTCCTCTGCTTGCAGATGATTCTGGGAACTCGTCGGACGACAGCGAATCAGAAGACCCGCCTGATAAAAAGCCGTCGCCATGGCGAGGGAGGACTGAAGCCCCACCCTGTCAGGAGGAGGAGGAGGAGGAGGAGGAACAGCAGGAGGAGGGGGAGGAGGAGGAGGAGGAGGAGGAGGTTAAGGAGGTGAAGGAGGAGATGATGATGACGACGATGACAACGACAAGTGAGGTTACTAACGTTGCAACGCCTGCTGACGACTCTGTTGCCACGGCAACAACAGGTCAGCCTCCTGCCGCTGAACTGCCATGTCCCAGCATGCCTCAGGAGAAAGTGGACAAGGTGCTGAGCCAGTCAGAGAAGGAGGAGGCGGAGCAGGGGGAGGAGCCTGCAGAAGAGGCCACGGTGGCACCGGTTCACCTGGACAAGGAGAACAAAACGTCTCTTGGACAGGAAGTTCTCGCCAAGATGTCTCCCAGCAGGAAGTCTCCTCCCCCCGACAAGGTTAATAAAATGTCTCCTCCCCCCGCCGCCACAGACAAACTCAAAACGTCTCCTGAGAAGCAGCAGCAGGTGTCCTCCCCTCTACCTGCTGCAGAGGAGGAGGACAGGTGCACTCCTCTGTCCTCCCCCAGGGCCAAAGGTCGCAGGGCCAATGTCAGGGAGGCAGGCTCTGAAACTCCTCCCAGAATCCCCCTCTGTACTCCCAGCCCCACCACCAGCCCCTCCCACTCGACGGCGCTGTCGTCTCCTCCTCGCGGCGTCCTGAAGAGACAGGACGAGCCCATGGTGGTCCTCTGCTGCCTCCCCACTGAGCACCTCCCCCCTGAATGTCCCGCAGTGGACTCAGACACCGACTCCGCCACAGAGGAGGAGGAGGAGGCGGAGGAGGAGGCGGGGTTACCTGAGGAGAGGAGCAGCGTGGCGATCAAACGTAAAGCAGCAGAGCAGAGAGCAGCAGACAAAAAGCTCCGCCCCGACAAGAGACAGGAGGAGGCCGCCTCCCCCAAAACTCCCGCCCCTACACCCAAGACAGCAGCCGGAGCTTCACCTAAACCCGTCCCCTCACCGCTCCGCTCAGAGAGGAGGAGTGAGGGGGTGGTGAAGACGGAGGACTGGCCCCGTCCAGCAGAGGAGGTGCAGAGGGAGGTGTCAGAGGAACGTCTGGCAGGTGGAGCCATGAAGGAGCCAGAGGTGCGTGCTCAGACGCCTCCCCTCGCTCCAGAGGCCCCAGGCCCCTCCCCCGCTGAGGAGCTGGAGCCGCAGATCGGCCCTGAGGCGCTGGTCTGCCACGAGGTGGACCTGGATGACCCCGACGAGAAGGAGAAGCCCGTCTCCTCCTCAGAGCACCTCCTCCTGATGATGAGGGAGCAGCAACAAGCTCCACCCCCGCTGCCCCACCTTCTCCATGCCTCCCTCCCTTCCCCCCACACCCCTCACCTCCCACAGACTCAGGTCAGGCCTTTCCTCCCGGCCGCCGCTCCCAGCTCCACCCCCTGCCCCGAGGAGCTCCACCCAGCCCGGAGCACCACCGAGGAGGAGAGAGGAGCAGCGAGGGGGGCGCAGGAGGGAGACTCCAGCCCAGGGTTTGATGGCAGCGCCTCCTCCTCCACTACCTCCCTGCTGTCGCTGCAGGAGAACAAGGACAGAGGTGAGACCACAGACTGTATGAGGTGTGAACAGTGTCACAGGTAACAGACTGATATGAGTGAATGTGACTGAGTCAGTCAGATATTAATCGGAAGAACTGAATGAAGTTTAATATCAGCAGCAAAACAATACACAAGCTCCGCCCCCCAAATTCACAGACGCACACTGCCGTATTTCTTTTCTGGTCACCAAGCCGTTAGTGTCGTTGCCTTGGCAGAATCCAGAGCGCCTTCCTTCTCACAGCTGAAGCCAAATAAACTTAAATTTAAATAATACAAAATGTCAACAAACAGACAACATGGACACAAACGCAACAGAGTAGTTGTTTACATTGTTTGTAGCTAAGCTAACAAGGAAGCTAACGTTACCTGGCATAGCCTCTGCGAGTCACCTGGTCTCCTGTGGGTCACGCTGACTCATCAGACTCCTCAGCCTGGTTGGTTTGTTGTTGTTGTTGTTGTGAGAGAGGGAGAGTCACCTGTGTGAACTTTGACCCCTCAGGTCAGAAGAGGGTGATGGACTGTAACTCCAGCCCGTCGGCCAAGAAACAGAAACGCAACCAGAAACGACCGAGCACGCCGGGGAAGGTGGAGAAGAACGGAGCAGGTGAGCTGACGGCGTGTGATGTCAGAGATGATGTCACTAACGGGTCACACACAGGGGATGGACACAGTTCAGGATCATTTACACAACAGAAGTGTGTGAATTTGATCCTGACACTGCAATCAACAGCAGTTGACAAAACAAAGCTCAAGGTCCACTTACTGTTGTGGAGCTTTTGACTGCATCACATGGTCATCTTTAACAGATGACAGAAATTTGCTCAGTTGTCATGAAACCTAACGTTTGATTATTGTGATGGCTCTCGTCTGTGTTGACTTTAATGAAGCAAGTGATTTTTTTTAAATGTCATCTTCACTGATTCTGAATCAGTTGAAGCTGAAGTCTGGTTCATGCTCCGCCCACACTTCCTGTCTCTTCGCCGCAGGTCACAGCAGCGACAGTGAGGACCAGTCTCGTCTGTCGTCCCTGTCCAAGTCTCAGAAGTCTCGTTGTCCTGGTTTGTCGTCTCCGTCTCCCTCCCCTCAGCGCACGTACAAGTGGACCTTCCAGCTCGGTAACGCAACAGAAAATTAACCAGCAGCTGTTTGATAATTGTTTTTGTTTACGTCATAATTGAAGCAAAAATGTCAAAACGTACCTGGTTCCAGCTTCTGAACTGTGAGAGGTTCATGTTTTTTTTTTTTTTTGCCCATATACGACAGTGACATGTCTTTGGTGTCGCCCTGGACTCTTGGACTCAGAGCGTCTTCACGTGTGAAAGTCTTAAATTGCAGCAGATTCAGTTTCCTAAAAAAAAAAAAAGTTATAAAATGTTTGGTCAGCGCTGTTCCATTCATATGTGAATCTGTTTTCTGCTTCTTATCTGCATCGTGTTTAATAATTAATACTTAAATTATTAGATCTTTTTCTTAAACAGCTGGAAAGTGCTGTAAACATAAATTTGTGGACTTTGTAAATGTTGCTGAATTCTGTGTGTGAACCTCCAGAACAATTCATTCTAAAATAATCAGCAGATGAATCAATAGTGAAACTGACTGAGCTGCAGTTTAAAGTGAGTGTGAAGGATGTTTACAGTCATCTACCTGCGAGGTGGCAGAGATGTGTTGGTCTGAATGGGGTGAGACAGAATTATGAATGAAGAAGTAACAGCTTCCTCCTCCTCCTCCTCCTCCTCCTCCTCCTCTTCCTCCTCAGATGAGTTGGACAGCATGTCAAGCACAGAGAGGATCTCCTTCCTGCAGGACAAGCTGCAGGAGATCAGGAAGTACTACATGACCCTGAAGTCAGAGGTCGCCTCCATCGACAGACGCAGGAAGAGGCTAAAAAAGAAGGAGAGAGAAGGTAGGAGCAGCAAAGAGCATGCTGGGAAATGTTTGGTTTTATTATTTTAATAATGTGGAGATTCAGTTGGACTCAGTAGCTGAAGTAACTGAAGAATTTTCAGATCTGAGTTGGTTCATATTTTTGCAGTTGAAAGGTGTTGATTACACAGCTGGTTTGATCAGTAAGTCACCTGTGATGTCACTGACTCACCTTTAGTTTCCACAATCTAGTTTCAGTTCACCTGTTCACCGTCTGCGTCTCCAAAATGTTCGTACAGGGGTCAGAATTTCTGTGCAGGTGAGTGGCGTCCGGTTTATTTTTATAGACCCGCACGCTCACTTCCTTCTGCTCAACCCCGCCCCCCTTCAGACACACGATGGGTATAGGCTCCGCCCACTCTAGTACGTTTATATTTTAAAACGGGTTTCCTCCGTCCACACGACGCCAGAGTTTCAAGCCACTAAAACTGAGACATTCACAAACTCTGCTGGACCTGTTTTATTTTGAAAACTCTGGGGTTGTGTTGTAGTCTGGACGGACAGAAACTGAACTGATGCAGGCTCGGAGAGAACAGCGTCATCTCCCTGTAGCTGACATTACAACACTTCATCTGACCTCATCTCTAAATTAAACAGCAGTTTAAATCCACAGCGAACTGTCAGGACTTCCTGTGGTGTGTCTGGACTTCCTGTGGCGTGTCACAGATGTCACACAGCTAACATGAAAAGGGGAAGAAGTTATTTAGTTATTAGCACGTGGTGAAATGTTTCTTAAATCTTTGTTTCAGTGTCGAACACAACGGCGTCGACCTCGTCAGGCTCCTCAGACACAGGTATGAGTCCGTCCTCGGCCTCGCCCACTCAGAACACCGTTGCTGTGGAGTGCAGGTGATGACACGCCCACCCAGGCCCCGCCCGCTCACTTCCTCCTGCTCAACCCCGCCCCCTTCGGCCACAGACTCCGCCTACTCAGCTAGCTCTGAGGGCACGACGGGGATAAATGTAAAAACCCTTCAGGTGAGAGTTCAACGACCGCAGCAGTGGCTGATGGGAATGCTGTCACTCCTTCAAATATGGCCGTGTGGGAGGGGAGGGAGTCTGCTCCCACCTGACTGCAGCTCCACCCCCTCACCTATGGACTTAACTCCTGTTCAAGGAGACAAATGTGACGGAAAAATCAGCTCGCCGTCTGTTCAGCCACCACAGAGCACTTCTCTATCGCCTTCCTTCTTTCCTTCCTTCCTTCCTTCCTTGGTGCGTCCTCAGTACTGCTCAGCATCTCCGAATTTCAAAATAATGTGACAAGATATTATGGGGGGGGGTTAGAGTATTCCTGCAGGGTAGAACAGATTCCTGAAGCAGCACAGCTCATTATGCAAATTATTTTGTTTCTTTTTTTTTTTTTTAAGAAAACAGAAAATATTATTTAAAGAAAAAAAAAAGTTTCCCAACTTCCTGCTGTGAGTGTCTCTGGTCTTTTTTATATGAAATCAGAGCTTTTATTTTGGTAAAAACAAACAAACAAAAAATTCCAAAAAGTTTCTGACGTCACAGCGGGAGAGAAAACAAAATGTCTTTTTTGTTTTTGTGTAAAATAATTAAAATGAAGTTTTTGATTTGTGTGAGTGTGTGTATATGTGTGTGTGTGCATATGTGTGTGTGTGTGTCTGAGTGTGTGTATATGTATGTGTGTGTGTGTGTGGGTTCTGTATGGAAGATCATTACTGCCAGAAAAATAAAAAATCGATAGATGTAGAAATGATAAAAGTAAAAATACACGTGGTCAAATGACTTCTCATGATTGTGATTTAAAGGCCTCGACTTGATGGAATTTCAACATTTTAATTTCAGAATATTGACAAACAGAATTCTGATGTAGTACCTGATCATTTTGATTTGAAAAATCAAAATAGTGATTTACGATCTGAAACTGTGACTTTGTAAATCTAATTCTTTATTTAAAGTCTTGATTTTTATTAAAAATGTACAAGTTTGACTCGATCTCTGGTGGTTGTGACTCAGGAAATCTTCATTTGACCTTTTGACCTTATTTTTTATTTTATTTTTATTTTTTTAATTTTTTTATTACAAATTCAAAGAAGCTGCAGAAATTGTCATTTAAGTAGAAATAATGACATTTTGTTCCATAATTCTACCTGATTATTGTTTTGACTTGTGACTCGGTCATTGTCATTTACAAACTCATAATTTCACCTGGAACAGTGAAACTGTGACTTTTTATCTCATAATTCTGACTCGAGAAGTGACTGTTGTGACGTGTCAAAGTCAAATCCCAGTAAAATGTCAAATAATTTTACTAACTACAGTGACTGACTTTTATCTTATGAAGTTTGACTTAAACGACTTGACTCGAGTCATAACTTTGACTTGCTAAAGTCTAAATGATTTCGGTTTCTCCTGATGTGACTTTACAGACGATCAGTCCAATTGATTCTGCGTCATAATTTATATTTAAAGTTTTAAAGTTATTAATTGGACTTTAGATGTAACTTCTGACTCATGGACATAGTTGTGAATGACTAATTCCTAGTTTTGAATTAAAGTCATAATTTTGGATTTTAGTTTGTATTTTGTACTTTTGAATTCTATAATTAAACTTCCCATCAGAGTATTGACCTTCATCATTTCTAACGTTTGATCAGTTGATTTTTGGCTGAGTTGATCTTCCATATGTTGAGTTCAGTACTGATGCTGCTCCTGGAGGTTTTCTGCTGCACTACTTCACCCCCACCCCCCCCCCCCCCACACACACACACCCCCCGTCTCCCTCTGTGTCTCTGTGGCTCGGACTCTCGGCTGATTTCAGCACCTGAACATTTCTTTGTTTTGTACATAAAAAGCTCTGAGTAAAGAAAAGAATAAAACCACACCATGTATTTGAGAACTACATTTTACACGCCTGTAAAGAATGATTTATAATATTTTTTAAGAGAAGACTGTTTGTACTGTTGTATTATGAACTCCTCGGTTGTTTTTTTTTTTTTTTTTTTTTTTTTTTTTTTTCTATGTGGTGTTTTGCTAGCGGCGGTTTAGAGAGCGACAACTGTAAATACAGAAACACACACACTTCCTCCTGAGAACAGAAGCTAAGCCATGCTGGAACTGTGTGCACAATAAGCAGAGCTCTCTGTTTCTAATAAAGTTTTTAAATATGTTTCCACTCTGCAGCTGCGTCTCATTTCAGAGTCCTGATCCTGATCCCCCTCCCAAACTGAGACCGCCCCACCTCTGAGACCGACGGTAACGGTGCGTTCAGGTGCTCCGTTAACACGTGAAGTCACACACCCCCATGTTCATTATAACAGTTTCCCCAAAGAGACAGAAATCAATCTGTAACACTTTTATTTTGAAATCTCATGGAAATGTGGATTGTTGTTTTAATGTGAAAAACAAAGTTCGGGAATGTTGAGTTCACAAAGATGTTTCCTTTCAATCCCGCTTCATTAATAATCATAATTTATTAGTTATGTTTTTGTGTTATTAGAGTGATCGATCAAACCGTTTATGAAGTCATTAAAATCGGCTCCAGCTGCAACATTAATGTGACAAACATACGTATTATTCTGAAAGGGTCCATCCTGTGTAATAAGAACTCTTTCTTGAGGGCGTGGCTGAGAGCGGTGACTGCTTCGTTGTGACATCACAAAGTTCCAGAAGTCCTGACGGCTGGTTTTAAGGCTCAGTTTCTGAATACAGGCTGTGTGCATTTCTCTGTGGACTGAGGCTTTGATACTTTCACAGTATTAATATAGAAGCTAGAGCTGATCTATAATCACACTACACATGGACACAGACCTTTACACTGGAGCAGCTTTAATCTATAGTTGGAACTGAAGCTGTCATGAAACAGAAATATAGCAGAGACCATTGGCTGGAAAATAAAATCGATTATCAACTGATGATTTATGTATTGATGATGGTTCAATGTTTTGAAATGCGTTTTAGTAAAGTGAATATTTTTGCATTTCTGAGGGAAACAGTTTTTAATTGGTTGAATTGAGAAAATAGTCTGAAGACTAATCAATAATAAAAATGATCATTGGTCCAATCAGCGTTAGTGGAAATACTCAAGCACCAGTATTAGATTGAGTGACTTTCCACCACTGTTCAAACCTTAAATAAAACACAGAAGAAGACTGAGGTTCATGATGTTTAATAAAAAATTATTTCAACATCAACATAAACAAATCTCCACATTAAAGGACAATTCCACAGTTTTTAGACACAAAAGAAATATGTTTACACTACATCTCCCATGATGCTTTGACACAGAGCAGCAGAAACTCGGCTGCAGTTCAGAGTCTTTATTCATCCAGCATGGAGAGACTGGACCTGCTGGATCCGGATCGGTCTGGATCTCCTCAGCCTGCCGGGGTCATGTCTCCGGTCCAGGTTCAGTCCTGGTTCAGTCCTGGTTCAGCGAGGTTGTCCCAGCAGTCCGGCTTTAGCAGCTAGAGCCTCGTTCTGCTGGATGTGGTACTCCTGAAACCTCATGGAGATCCGCTGAGTCATCTTCAGATACTTCTGCAGACAGGACTCGGAGCAGCTGGACTGAAACGACAAACATGAACATCTGGGTCAGAAACATTGGGTCTCTGGTGGAGAGCTGAAGCAGGGTGTAAACTTCAGGTTGTGGGTTTTCAGTCCTACGACCGTGGTTCCCTTGTTACCATGGTAAATCACCATGGTAACTGAATTCTCCTGCAAGTATCAGTATTTCTTCTTATCATATTAATACTTTGTTCATGTTTCTGACAAAGTTGTTTAAAATGAACAACTCTGCCTCTTTCACAAATCTGATCACATGGACATGAAACATGTGACCTGGCAGCGGATTGGTCAGACAGCCAAGAGAAAATGTGACATCACATGACATCATCAGCTCATGAGCGAAACCTTTTCTCAGCATCATCACTCCTCCCCGACAGCCAATCACAGCGGCGGACAGCGCTCATTTAGTTAGCTCGACGACTAACTGGCACATGTCATCTAAGGTCATCCGCCGCCATAACAGTTCTGATCAGTTTGAACATTACAGGTATCAGATGCTTCCTGCAGTCTGTAACCTCTGAGCAGTTATTGATCATTGACTGCAGCAGGAAACTGACTGAGTCAGTTTTATCCTCAGTTGTATTTTCATTCTTCCTTGGGATTAAGGTGTAATCTATTTTGATATTGTTTACTCTATTTGTTAATTAATGAAGTAAGGCCAATTATTATTTGAAACATTTATGGTTTAAAAAGGCCAGAGTTGGGATTTGTTGGGCAGATTTTGTTTTGATGTTTTTCTTCTCTGTAGTTTAGAAGCAGGACGAGCATCCGGAAATCAACATCCCTGTAAATGAACTGAATAACTGGCTGCCACCTGTGTTTCCTGGTGGTTTGTGGCGTCAGGTAGAACCGGAAGTATCCAACAACATTGATGATGATGAAAGTTTAGAGGGTTTGTGTTCACAGCATCTTTACCTCCTCTGGCTTCACTTCTCTGCTGGTGAAGTCTTTGACACAGTCCATGAAGCAGTTCTCCGTCACCTTGTTGTACGTCCCCAGAAACTCCTTAAACTGAAACAGAGAGGAGACGCACGTGAGACCTCAACTACACACTTCACTGCAGCACGACACACCTCCACCTCCTCCTCCTCCTCATGATGCAGGTGATCTACAAACCACTCACCTGTTTGATCTGGTCGGACTCGGACACCTGGACCGCCATGATTCAGAACCAGAGTCTCTGTGGAGAACAAGCAGTTCACGTCAGTGTCCCCTCCCCCACGAGCCACCGTTTAAAACACCTGACGTTTAAATGTTCACAGTCTTTTTCTGCATCCTCACACTGATCGGTCTGATCCGGAGTCACCGGACGAACCCGTTAACTACCAAATTAAAGTCTCTCCGGTGAAAGTGATTACCTCCTCTGTAGCCGGTGGAGCGGTAAGCTAACAGCTAGCCGGGTTAGCTTCGCGCTCCCGTGATTTTACCGGGTGTTGTCGCAGATGTCGTCCCTCAGACTCCCGAGCCGCGGGCTGCAGACACACACTGTGGGTTTAAAACTAAATTATAACCAGAAGATGATGTTTTAATCTGACCTGAGGTCGGTGTTCGATGTGGAGATCCTTCTTCCGGCGGACTGAAGGACATGTGGAGAAACGGAGCCGCAGATTCAAAGTATTTAAAAAAAGGTTTATTCACCCTGAAAATCAATTGAAGAAAATCAACAGTTTAAAATTAAATTATTAATTTCTCTAAGGATTACTGACGCGATTGTAGTCCAAATAGCTGTACAAGACTAAAACGTGACGAAAGTTTGACCTCTGAGTCGAGCAGTGCGCTACGGAAAAGACCGTCCGATGTGCTACAGGAGCGTAGTAAAGTTCCTACCTTTTTAAGTTCCTGAATAAATGATCATAATATCCTATTTGATTTGTAACTATCTTCATAAACATCATCTAAATGGTCTTTGAAATTCAAACTGTGCACAAGTGGAACTCTATGGGGAGGACCACAAGTGTCATGCAAATAGCATTTCATTCACTGATTTCTAATTGAACACTAAAAACAGAAATTAATAAATGTTTTTACTAATTCATTTCTTAATCTATATATAAATCGAATACATTTCTCAAATTCAGTATTTCATTAATTAGTATTTTAATAGGCAATAAAAAGAGGAATTATCAAAATAATTAATGAATAGTTCACATTTAAATGATTTACTTGACTGATTGATTGTTTTATGCTGTTTTTTAAAATCTATTTGAGGTGATTTTTTGTTCTTTTGTTTTTGGCGGTTTTGTGCAACAATCTGCAGTTTAACCTGGATCAGTTAAATCTCCATTTAAAAACAGTTTGTACACGTACAATGATTCTTCTGATTTAGAGGCGGAGTGAGACATCTGTCCTTAGTAGTTCTTTTTGTTTTGTTTTTTATCTTTGGACCCAAGCGGAACCGGAAGTGTCGTTTTGTTGTCGGCAACTGTTGCTGTTTCCACTTTTGTCGCGTTTCGACTTCAGATTCTCTTTTTATTGTCCTGACGTCCCTTTCTGTTTTTACTGTAATGTTTTTTTTACTTTCTAAACTTGATGTTTCCGCTCGGACTCCCGCCACCGAGTTTTAACGGCGCCGCTGCTGTTTGATGCCGGAGCGGGAAGTTTGAACGAGGCTAGTTGCTGTTAGCCTTCATGCTAACGGTCCACTGACAGTCAACAAAGCTGTTCACATGAAATTAAGTTAAGTTGATTAAAACCGTGCGGATGTTTCGTCAGCCCGCTTCCAGCTCTCACACACCCCGGGATCTATCTGGTGATCTCAGTCCGGATCAGTCCTCCTGTAGCTCGGACACCGGGGACGTTTTAATCCGCTCTACCAGGGTTCTCCTCCCGGACCGGAGACACGAAACTGGACCAGGACCCGGATCGGTCCAGATAACTGTCCAGAAACTGAGGGATCATGCCCGCGTCCAGCCTCCTCTGACCGAGCAGCAGCAGCAGCAGCAGCGGCGGTGGCCTAAGCCCCGACAGAAGCCGAACACCGGTGCTACTCCACGGTCAGCGACAGACGGTCAGCCCGGTAAGAGCTCCAGCCGGTGTCACGGTAACACCGGTGACCTGAGCTACACGGTGACCGGAAAGGAAGCAAATCGATACAATTTAAACAAAAAAGAAAATACAAAGTAATCCACTGTGACCAAAACACGCAGCTGATTATATTATATTATATTATGTAATATCAGATCATTTATGTTATAGTATATTATGTTATATTAGGCTGTCTCGTCCTCTGATGTTCCTTTGTTTGCAGACAGGTGGACGCTGAAGGAACCTGCACAGACCAAAGAGAACAGAGAACCCACAGGAACAGTAAGTCTTTCATTGACCTTTGACCTTCCTGCAGTTGATGAGGCAGCATCATGTTTCTGTTCGTCCCCATGAGAGTTAAAGAGATCCACATTCACACACCTGTTTCCTCAACGAGTCTTTTATGGTGATGAATTGAATTTGATTTCAAACCAAAACATATGAAGTAAAAAGCTTGTCCCTCAGTCAGTATTCTCCCTGCAGGACCACAGGTGAATAATCAATGCACCTACCTGCCCACACCAACCACACACCTGTGAAGGTAAGATCCTGAATGTCTCTTCTGTGTCTGTTCCTCCTGCAGCCTCCAACAGCAGAGTGGAGCCCAGACAGGAAGCTCTCCGCTGGGACACAGAGTGACCAGCAGCCTGGTGAGAGAACCACCTGTCAGTCAGTCAGTCAGTCAGTCAGTCAGTCAGTCAGTCAGTCAGTCAGTCAGTCAGTCAGTCAATTAATCAATCAATAATCAGCATCACTACACTGCTGAGAAGCTGGGAAACATACAGAAGTATATCTTTTTGTTTGTCTTCATAAGGATGTGAATCTGAATGTATGTTGTTATATTATCATCATTTGTTATAGATTATTGATTCATTGATGGTTTATTGGTTTTACTGACATGAAATACTCAAACTAAAATCATGAAAACATGAAGTCAGCGACTGAACCTTCAACCTCCTGTCAGTCTGAGTTCGCCTCTGCTTACATCATCAGGTCACGACCTCCTGACGTCACGTTTCGCCGCTGGAGGTCGAGGTGTCGTCCTCGCGGCTCTGAAACAACGGTGAGAACAAACAGACATTTAACTGAACGTTTCTATTGAAGCTAATGAAACTAAAACTAAGAATCAAACATTAAACTGAGTTTTGTTGTGAAATATTTAACAACAGTTGCTGTGATGAAACAGGACTGAGGATTAATTTCATCTTGTTCAATAAATGAATCTAAAACTTTTCAAGCTATTTGCTGTGAAACGAAACTGATGAAATTAAAGAAAAGTTGTTGATTTTTGTAACAAACTGACGAGTTGATGCAATAAAATTGAAACAGCTGGAATCTGAAGCATCGCAGCTTTTTTGTGAAAACCATCAGTCGGTTGAATTCTTCTAGAAAACTCTTCATGACGACTGTAGTTACAGTGTTGGTGTTTCTGTCAGAATCATAACACACACACCTGATGCACCTGAACACATCACTGCCCTCACACTCACCTGTCACCTGTCTGTCTGTCTCAGCTCTCACAGCGCCCCCCACAGGCGGGAGATCAAAGTGAATCTGTTGGACCCATGTCCACTCCAGACCAGCTCCCAGGATGCTTCTGGTCTGAGGTCCAGTTCCCATGATGCAGTGGGTGTATCAGGGGTCCAGATGGAGGCGGGGCTGTCCTCTGGTTGCCTGGGAGACGGCACCAATGCGGCAGCAGCTGCTGCAGCTGCAGCTGCAGCTGTAGCTGCTCCTCTCATCAAGGTAGATCTGATCCCAGACCAGTTCACTGAGCTCTTCATTCAGGAAGACGTCTCAGCTGTACCTGAATGACACGCCCACCAACACAGCTGCTTCATCGTGTGTGTGTGTGTGTGTGTGTGTGTAGGCTCAGTCAGACATGGAGGCTCGAGTGTGTCAGCTGGCAGACGGTGTTCAGAGGCTGCTGCAGGCCGACAGGTACCCAGGCTCGGGGGGGGGGGGCACTGTTTTTCATCAATCAATTCATCGAGGAAATAATTGTCAGATAAATTGATCATGTGAATGAACATTTGTTGCAGCACCAGATAAAGGAAAATGCACAAGAGCACACACACACACATACACTGTGTGACATCACTGTCTGTTCTGTTTTAAGGGAGGCTGGGGACAGGGGGCGGAGCCTTAGCCAGCAGACGCTGCAGCACCTGGAAACGCTGCACAGCCAACAGCTGCAGCTGCAGGTAAACACACTCACCTGTTCTGGTGCTGCTGACTCATCACTCTGCTGTCTGCCTGCTCATTGGCTGTCCTTTCCTCCAATCAGAGCCAGCTGCTGGAGTCGGCTCTCAAGATAGTGACAGGCCACGCCCCTGTGACCTCCGTGACCTCTGAGCTCACAGCCTTGGGTCAGCCAGCCCATCTGCAGGTCACACACCTGGACACTGCAGGTAAACACACACACACACACACACACACACACACACACACACACACACACACACACACACACAACAGGAACAGTTACTGTAGTTTGTCAGCAGATGGAGCTTCAATCAACTTATACAGGAAAATATCTGTGTAGGCAACATATACTTTTGTTAATGTCCCCCCACGGCATCCTGGGAGCTGTAGTTCCAGAACGTAGAGCAGGATTATTAGTAGTTGTTCTGACCCAGACCTCCAGCTGTCGCCCTCTGACAGATTTGTTCCTCCAAGTAAATGAGGTTTTCCCTCCAAGACCAGATCCAGGACACGAGGAGCAGAAACTATTCTGATAATCAATTCATCAATTATTTCATCATCCCCCAAATAATAAATACGTTAATTATGAATATTACATTAGATAAAATCATATTCAAACAGCCAGATAAAGTAATAACACCTCAGGTGCCTTCATTAGATAGTGTGACACTGTAGATTAGAGCTGCAACGAGCAATTGATTAATCACTTAGTTGATCAACAGAAAATTAATATGCCACTCTTTTAATAATCCATTGATCTTCGTCCCTCCGCTGCTGTCTGATGTTTGATGGATCAGATGATCGATCAGCAGACTAATCAATGATAAAAACAATTGATAGCTGCAGCTCAGAGCAGAGATGTCATGAACAGCTGTGACCAGCAGGTGGCAGCAGCAGTCCTCTGACACATGGAGGCTGTTGCCATGGAAACACCCCTCCTCAGACTGGTCTGATGCAGCAGAATAGATCAGTGTCTGAGTTTCTAGAGGCGGAGGTTTCTTCCATTTCAGCCCCGCCCCCCCGCTGTGATGGAAACGGGGTCGTCATGGAAACCAGGCTGTTTGTAGCAGCAGGTTATTTATAGCTTCAGTCCTGAATTCACTGCTGACACTCTGCAGGCGTGTGTGTGTGCGTGTGTGTGTGCGTGTGTGTGTGTTTGTGATCACAATATTTATAATGTTTAGTTTAACGTCAACTTTTCACACACACGGTTTTACATTTTGACGTCAGTTTTCTTTATGACTTTAGTTTGTCAGAGATCAAATTCAAAAACCACAAATCTCATATGAAGAGAAGATGTTTCTTGCTGGTTCATAATATTTATCAACAGAAATAGTTTCAGTCATTTTCACAGCTTCACATTTTTCAGAGTAGATTCAATATAATGTGACACACAGTGTTGGACAGTTTCACAGACACAAGTCAATGTAATGAAGGAAGATAAAAAAAATCAGAGAGGAAGAGAAACGCAGAGCGAATGGATGTAAAATAATGACGGCAGTAACAGAACAGGACTCCACCTCAGCTCCCAGACAAGCTCCGAATGATGGAGGAACCACCTGATTGTAACGCACTCAACAACAGCCTGTAATAACATTTATAACAAATAGATTTCATCAGAGCCTCTGCAGACCATGTGGATGTTCAGGATCCTGAAGGAGGTTGTAAAGGTTCCTCAGACGTGTGTGAGGAGGTTCCACGGGTCACTGAGGAGGTTCTGGGGGTTCTTGAGATCTTCCTTCGGGAGCATGTCGGGGGTCTTTGACTGAACCGTGTGCTAATGTAGTGGGAAGCATCAGTCTGGTTGCTACGGTTACCTGAACCCAGAACAGAGTTTAAACTGTCTGAGGTGAACTCGTCTTCAGGACAGTGTGCTTTGACCTTTGACCTCTGATGTTACTGTGTTCTGCTGCAGACGTCTGACTGACTGACTCCTTCTGTCTCCATCAGAAAACCAGCAGCGCAGCTCCTCGGCAACCAGAGCTGCTGCCGTCGCCACTGCTGCTGTGGAGACGGGCCCAGTTGCCATAGCAACACCCAGCCGTGACCGATGGCCAGAGCAAACCAGGTGAAGGGGGGGCTGGGGAGGGGGAGGGTGTTTCTGTGGGTCTGAGCGTGACAGTTTTGTTAAACAGAGGCTGAAAATGAACCTGCAGACTGAGCCGCTGTTCAACAACAGAGACACAAAAAAACCTCATAAACTTCCCATCATGCCTCAGTCACAGCAAACAACAACACAACACGACACGACCCGGTGTGTTGGGGTCGGGTCGAGGACTGCAGCCTCTCTCTTCATCAGAAGAGACGATCGTCTGTTCGCTCTGATGAAAACGTTTGGTTGCACGGTGTGAGACCGACGCCAGTTTAACAGACACCTGCGGTCTGTGTTGAACCGGGTTAGACTGGCTCTGATAGAACACATGGATGTTCCTCAGGTTCCTCTGTAGAACGTGTGATGGAGGATTTCACACGACAGAAATGTCTCTCAGGGCTTTTATTGTGAAATTCTGGTTGAATCAGTTTAGTGACTTCCTGTTTCTGTGGAGGACGTGATTATTATTATTGTTGTTGTATTGCTGCTGTTTTCTTCAGTAGCTGCTCGTTCGTTGATAAAGGTTCCAAACACTACAATACCCATGATCCTCTGCAAAGTGTAACTCACAGCATTGTATCAACAAAACATGGCCACTCCATTTATCCAGAGTCAGAATTTCATCTTCATCTTCATCTCTGTGACTTGTCTTCATCAGAGCTGCTCGTCCTTCGTCTTATTGATTATTAGAATTGATCAATTAATCTGCTGATTATTTTCAAGACATGCTCGGACTGATTTTATTGGACCAACAGATTCTCACCTGAGGCTCTGAACCATCAGCATTGTTCTTCATGAATGACTGAAACAATGAATCTGTTGTCAATAGAGTCATGTTCTGTCGATCGATTGATCGAGTGATTGTCGCAGCTGTTCTCCTCAAAGCTTTAACTCGACAACGTTTTAGCTGCAACTCACAACATTAGAGCCAACAGCATCAAGCAGATCACAGTCTGAGTCGATGGTTTCACACACGAACACGACGACGCGCAATAAACCAAATGTTTCCTCCGAGGATTCACGACCAGATCAATGAGTCTGGTTCGATCGGCTGATTGGATTTATCACAAACAGGCTGCGGCTTCATTTAAACACTGCAGTGTGTGTGTGTGTGTGTGTGTGTGTGTGTGTGTGTGTGTGTGTGTGTGTGTGTGTGTGTGTAGCTCGCTTGATTTGCATAATCATTCTGAGAGAGCGAGAGTCAGGGGCGAACAAGGCTCATCGTATATTCAGCAGCTTCATCCTCCTCCCTGCAGCACGGTCGGCAGGCGCGTTTCCATGGAAACGCAGACGGTATCCATCAAAGGCACGCCGAAACTAATCTGTGTGTGTGTGTGTGTGGAGCTGACAGCGAGCCAACCAGCCGACATTAAACCCTCACTGTAGGTTCGGTGACGCTGATACGTGTTTGTTTGTTTGTTTGTTTGTTTGTTGTGTTTCAGTCGTTGCTCAGATCAGATCAGATCACAGGCGTCTGAGACGTGTTCGTTACAGCTTGTCAATAAAAAGCCTTTGAAGGTTTAAATGCGTCTTGAACTTAATTTGGTGATCGACCTGCTGAGAAATAGACAGAGCGACGAACAGGAAATCATCACAATGGAAGAGGCGGAACTCGTGCTCAGCTGATCAGTTGTGGATTAATTTCCTGTCGATCAGCTGATTGATTAATCGACCGGCTGCTGCTCCGGTGTTTTTCACATTTTTCTGTTCAGTTCAGCTGAAAATCCACTGAAGACAGACAAAGAGGAGGAAAGAACTGTCCTGAGGCGGGTGATCGAGGCTCACTGCACACAGAGAGAGGGAGAGAGAGAGAGAGGGTGGGGGAGGGGGAGGGAATAACAGAGAGGTGAAACCTGCCTAGCAACACAGATACAGATGTGTGCGACAGACGTTCAGCTACTGTAGCAAATATTTACATTCCACCTTAAACAGGCCTGAGGTCAGACAACACGTCAGTGTCATACGTGTGCTGTGCGTCATGTGGTTCACTGCAGCTACATCATGTTTCCACGTTCAACACACACACACACACACACACACACACACACACACACACACACACACACACACAGACCCAGATGCTGGTTTTTAATTTTCAATCAGCTCATCAGCAGAAAATGAACCAGCAGCTGTTGGAAGGATGTTCTCTGTTTGAGGTTCTAGGTTCTTAATGGGAGACGTTCCTGCTTCTCCTCCCACATGAAACATTTTGTGTTTCGAGCTGTTGAGACGTTTTCTGATGTTTCACACAGTGAATCCAGAAATCAATGTGTTTAGGAATATAAACGTCAACATGAAGTTTTCACCAGTGGATGAAGGTGTGATCAGGTTTCAGATGTAAATATCAGTGATCTGGATTCTGCCACATTAATCAATCAGTTAATCAATTAACAGCCTCTGTGTTGTGTGACAGAAGGAGGCAGAAGGTTTATATTCATAATCCTACATATCCAGATGTTTCTGGAGCTGGATTTGTAAAATCCAAAGCATTTACAAAAGATCTTTACAGGAAACATGAAGACGTTCATCATTTAGTCCCCGAGGAGTCGATGTTTGGCTCCACTCCTCCTCCTCCTCCACCTCCTCCTCCACCTCCACCTCCACCTCCTCCACCTTCACACCTGCCTCACAAAATAAAACTGAAGTGATTTTAAAATCTGAATTTAACTCTCCGGGGTCATTCTTGTCGACTCTCTGTGGAACTGTTTGCAGCATCATGTCTGTCCGACACACCCGGTCATATGTGGGTTTGTGTTGTGTTCATTGTTGAGCTGTGGTGTGGCAGTGAGCTGTCCATCGGGGGGGGGGGGGGGGCAGATGGAGGGAAGGAGGGCAACAAGTGGCATCATGTCATTTCAGTCTCAGAGGAGCAGCAGGGGGGAGGGGGCGATGACGTCACTTACTCTACCAGGTGGCATTCCTGGGGAGGGGGTGGTGGTGGGGAGGAGGGGGGGAGACACAATCCAAATTCCTCTGCTTCTCTGGGAGTGAGGCATGCAGGGAAAAAAACGCAGACCTCCCCTCTCCTCCTCCCCCTCCCCCTCCTCCTCCATCTCTGCAGCACAACACGGAGCTCCAGCAGCAGGAGGAGGAACAATAACCTGAGAGGAGACAGAGGAGTCACTGCAGTCCGCCTGTCGGTCCTCCTCTCCGGGGTTATTTCTCTGTTTCCGCGGGAAGAACCGAGCTGGTGTTTGCAGCTCCGCGGAGGAGGCAGGGAGGGAGACGGGCAGAGGGAAGATGTCCTCCCCGCAGGTCTCCTCGTCCCGCAGACAGTCATGTTATCTGTGCGACCTGCCCCGCATGCCCTGGGCCATGATCTGGGACTTCACCGAGCCCGTTTGTCGGGGCTGCGTCAACTACGAGGGCGCGGACCGGATCGAGTTCGTCATCGAGACAGCCCGGCACCTGAAGCGGGCACACGGTTTCCAGGAGGGCAGAACTCCCGCAGGGGGACCGCCTCCTCCGCCGCAGCAGCAGCCCGCCGTGGCGAAGAGCCAGGCGGTGTTACTGACCGGGAAGGAGCCGGTGGGGCAGCTCAACCACCACCACCACCTGGCGGACGCACCGGGGAAGTCTCAACAGCCCGGTTTGGACCGGTACTCGCTCGGTGCGGACACCCGGGCTCGGTTTGACTACAGCGGACACAGCAGCAGCAGCAGGCTGCCTAACGGACTCGGAGGACCGAATGGGTTCAAACCGGACGACGGACCGCCGGAGCTGAACCGACAGAGTCCGAACTCGAGGAGCAGGAGCCACGGGGGGCTGGTGTCGGCGCCGGGACAGATGAATGTGCCGCCGAACCTGCTGCCTCAGACCCTGCTGAACGGACCGGCCCCGCACGGCATGGCGAGCAGAGCCGCCCCGCAGGGCTCGATGGTCGGCGTCTCTCTGCCCGGACAGGTCGGGCTGTCTGAGCCGGGAGGGAAGCGACCCGCCTCGGTGTCCAGCACGGACCAGGAGCGGGAGCTGAAGGAGAAGCAGCGGAACGCGGAGGCTCTGGCCGAGCTGAGCGAGAGCCTCCGGAACCGGCAGGAGGAGTGGACGAGCAAGCCGAAGACGGTGCGGGACACGCTGGTCACTCTGTCCGGCTGCACCCCGTTCGACGTCCGCTTCAAGAAAGACCACGGGCTGGTCGGCAGGGTGTTCGCCTTCGACGCCGTGTCCAAACCCGGTATGGACCACGAGCTGAAGATCTTCATCGAGTACCCGAGCGGCTCCGGGAACGTGTTCTCCAGCGCCTCGGGGGTGGCCAAGCAGATGTACCAGGACTGTATGAAAGACTTCGGCAGAGGTTTGTCCTCCGGGTTCAAGTACCTGGAGTACGAGAAGAAGCACGGCTCCGGGGACTGGCGTCTGCTCGGGGATTTATTACCGGAGTCCCTGCGGTTTTTTAAGGAGGGTTTAGGGGGAGACATGCTGCCGCAGCCCTACATTGACGGCAGCTACCCGCTCCTCCCCACCTCCCTGGTCCTTCCCGGCCGAGCTCTGGCCTCAGGCAGCGGGAACAGCGGCTCCAGGGCCGGGGTGAGGAAGAGGAAAGCCTCGCCGGAGCCGGACTCTGCGGAGGGCGGCCTGAAGCTGACGGAGGAGCAGCAGAGGCAGCAGTGGATCAACAGCCAGACCGAAGCCCTCAAGCTCTCCATGGCTGCGGGCTCCTTCGCCGGACCCCCTCCTCCGCTCGGCCCGGGACACCCCGGCCTCTCCTCCGGCCGCGCCACGCCCCCGGAGTCCGCGGCTCCGCAGCAGAACGGACAGTCCCCGATGGCCGCGCTCATGTCGGTGGCGGACACGCTCGGGAACGCGCACTCCCCCAACAAGGACAGAGACTCGGTTCACTCCACCACCTCCTCCTCCAGACACAACAGCAGCAGCCCGGTGTCCCCCGCCTCCGTGTCCGGACAGAGGCGCCTCTCGTCCCGCAACGGAGACCTCGGGCTGTCCGCGCCCTCTCAGTCCGCAGGTGGTATGGACCAGGTGCACGCGCAAAACGTGCCCGACTCCCCCATGGCCAACAGCGGGCCTCTGTGCTGCACGATCTGCCACGAACGGTTAGAGGACACGCATTTCGTGCAGTGTCCCTCCGTCCCCAACCACAAGTTCTGCTTCCCCTGCTCCAGAGAGAGCATCAAGGCCCAGGGAGCCTCCGGGGAGGTGTACTGCCCCAGCGGGGAGAAGTGCCCGCTGGTCGGCTCCAACGTGCCCTGGGCCTTCATGCAGGGGGAGATAGCCACGATCCTGGCCGGAGATGTGAAGGTAAAGAAGGAGAGAGACCCCTGAGGAGGAAGAGGAGGAGACTCTTCCTCTTTGCTGTCACCGCAAAAAAAAAAGAAAAACTCATTAATGTGAGCCACACGGTCAGTCTGCCGCTGAGCCTCAAAACCCGACTCCTCTTTGTCTTATTGATTATTGATCTGAACACAGAAATGTCTGGATCTTGATCAGTGTAGAAACAGGTGCAGATGATCCTCAGAGAACTGAACCCTTTAAAAACAGTGTGAAGATGAATGTGGGTGAGGTAAATTGAACAGGAAAATAATTTCTCACTAGATCAATATCATATCAATACTGTGATATGAGACTAGATATTTGATGTAGTTTTTATTCTAATTTTCCAGTTTTATGAATCACCACACATTTTTGAGCTGAGCTGACCCTCAATTATCAGTGTCATTAATTCTTTTGATTAATCAATTAATCCTTTCATCTGTAAAATATCATATAAATAGAAAAAAAAACAAAAACCTGCACAATTTCCAGAAGCTGAACGCGATGTCTTCAAGTGTCTTGTTTCGTCCGACAAAGAGATCCAGTGTCACACACACAGAAACTTAAACTTTTAAAAATGACCCAAACAATTAATCAACTATCAAAAGTTGTTCCCTAATAATTCTCTTATCGACTAATCAATTCATTTCATTTATTTATCGGAGCCTCGAAGATCAATGAGGTTTCGCTCGTTTGCAGTGATGTCGGTATACATGAGAGGACGATACTCTGACACTCTGAGGTGAAGTGGTTTGAGATCATCGTCTTGAATTGTCCAGGTGTCGCTTTGTGTTGTAGATGATTCCACGTGTTTGATTCACAAAAACTAAAAGGCAGATTTTACAAGTTCAGAGTAAACCCTCGGGACTTGAAGCACGGGACAGTTAGAAGAGTCCAGTACAGATGTTATGTCAGGTGGAGGTGTATAAGGTCAGAGAGGAGCAACCAGCTTTAATGTGCAGAATACAGTGGCGAGTGTCAGAGGGATCAGCAGTGATGAGTGTAGATAATATCACATGAAGAAAAACTGCCTCCACTATACTTTTCCCACAATGCAGTTTGTTGAAGAATATGGTTTTAAATGTAAATTATATGATACGTATCTACTATTAGCGTGGAGAAGTGAAGACTGTTGAAATCAATATCGCTCGCTCTAGAGAAAAGCGTGAACTTGGTTTTCGATGCATTAAGTACCAGCTCTAAGTTGATAAGTGAATCTTGAATAGCATTAAAAGATGTGCAAGAGTCAGCAAAACAATACAGAGCAGTGTCATCAGCGTAAAGATGGACATTATAGTCGTTAGAGAAGAGACAGTATTATTGATGTAATACTGAGCCCTGAACTGATCCTTGTGGAACACCTTTTGTAAATCAGCTACCTGTTTATAGCGTCCGTCACCAGTGACTGAGTCTGTGAGGACGACTGAGCTTCTAAATTCAGAGCGGAGTTGAACTGGTGAGGTGACCTGAAACTTTTCAGAGACGGTGACGGACCGTCAGTATCGTTAGAAACTAAAGATAAAGAAAAGTAAACGGTTGATAAAACATTTGCTAAAGCAAATAACAGACACATTAAAGTGAATCAACACTGGTTGATCAACATAGTTCAAGATGTAGATATCAGTGGATTCAAAACTGCTTTTGTAATAACAATGAATTTCCCAGGAGAATCTGACCCTGAAGAATCTGAAATAATAAAGAGACAAATAAATATTGTCTCTCCAAATGACATTACATTCTAATTATCAGAGTCCAGGGCTGTAAACACGACTTCAGAAATACTGAGGTCAACGACCCAACAACACAAAGTGAGTGTTGATGTTTAGTTCTGTGAAATTCTTCTAAAAATCAACAACGGTCCAGAAACTAAACACAGCTCATTAAATTCTAATGACTGTCTCTAGTTGTATACTTACATTCAGCAGTGTGATCCTCAGGCTCTCTGTCAGTGTTGTTTGCTTTCATTACCGGTACGCAATGAATCTTGGGATATGTTGGACCAGGAAGGATGCACCTGTTGGATCCTTCCAGGAAAGGAACCTGAAGGAACCTTTGAAATAATGACAGTCTAGTTGCAGCTTCTGTTATGTTTTATTATTCTAATGAATCTATACAAAATGGGGTATAATAATTATAATGATACAACATAAAACAAGGGATTAGAAGAAGAGAGAAAGAAAAAAGATACTGAAATTAGCATAACATAATTAATAAAGGGCCTCCATATAGTCTCACATACATACTGCTTAGCCTTAAATATGTAGGAAATCCTTTTTAATGGAAGGCTCGGTAACATCTGTCTTATCCATTGAGTCGTGCTCGGTCTGTGAGTCTTTTTTCAGAACAGTGCTTTGCAATTTTTTTTTTTGGCATAAAGCAAACTGAGGTCTATAAATGCTCGTCCGCTTTTACTACAGTTATTTTTCTCTGGATATAAACCCAACAGAAAGAGTTTAGGCTCGAGTAAAATTAGTTTCCCAGAACATTTAAATCTTTCTACATTTCCAAATACAGTGAAACGATGATCCTTTCATTTCCGTACATTTTGTGCATATGTCACGAGAAAACTTTGATCCTGTCTCGCTCTCTGATCCTAATCCACCTCAGTCCAGTGTCAAGACAAAGTCCACATTAACTCAATATAACTGGACAGTTTAATGTGTGTCATTTAAACGCACTGGATTCCCAGGAAATATACAGAGGACAAGAACTCAGTGATTCTTTTACACGTTTTACTGAGGACGTGTTTTAAAATGTGGATTTATCCGGAATGCTGTAAAGTTTTCTTCTCCACGAGGCATAAAAATCATCAAAATCCCCTTTTTAAAGCTAAAAAAACAAAAAAAAAACTGGTTCCAGCTTCTGTTCTGGTTCCACATGTGACCATTTGCTGGTTTTTCTTCATCTTCTACAAAAATACATGAAATCTTTAAACTGTTGATCGAACAAAACGAGACATTTGAAGACGTCACCTTGGTCACTGACATTAATGACAGTGGCTTTTCTCTGGCCTGCAACAGTTTGTGTCAGTCATTAACACTGACGGGGGAAGCAACCAATAAAAATGATCCATGTTGAATTGCATGGGAATAAAGGTCAGAACAGCAGCATCAGCAAAAACTTGTTTATCTGTCGTATTAGTTCAGTGGAGTTTCAGCCCCAAAAAAAATCACTGTTTTATTGACTCAGTGATCAATTAAGCAGATAAATGTTTAGTTTATCTGGAGAAATGATCCAGAAAATTATTCATTTACATAGAAAATTATCATCAGTTAATTAATCAACTTTTTTTTTTTTTTTGATGAAGTGCAGTTTTCACCCCCAGACAGAAATCCTGTTCCTGATAAAAGCTGATAAGTTTATCAAGTAACGAAACAAAAAGATGAAAGAACAGGAACATTGGTAGTTTAATTGGACGTGACAGATCTTGTTCGGACCAGTCAATGAAAAGGTTTTAATGATGTTTAAACGAAGTAGGTGAAGCATATTGACTCCTCTCCCAACAGGAACCGGGTCAGTTTATTATCTTTAATGGTTCAATGCGGTGAACGGGAAGAGCAGCAGCTTGTCAGGTTCAGCTCACAGCACCAAAATTTGACAAAAGTCTCTGACGAGTCTTTAAGTTCAGAGATAGATTTGTCAGCGTGCAACATAAATAACAGGAGATCGTCTGCGTACAGAGAGATAAGCGCTGCCCTGTCTCCCCTGATGGTTTGAACAAAGAGCGGCAGGTTTTCAGGCCGAGCGGCTGCAGTGACGGACTCGTTACAGGACGGAGGTCTGTGAAACATATAAATATTCTACATGTGGATGTTTCAGAAAAAGTCTTCTAACAAAGAAAAAAGAGTCAGAGTGTTTTTGTTGTCGTGGAGGTGACGGAGGTGTGAACAGTGATGGTGTGATGTAGTGTTTAAGCAGACAGACAGGTTCAGAGAGTGAGACAGCTCTTAGTCACAGACTTCATCATCACACCGTCAGTTTATAAAATCATGTCTGTAAAAATAACTTTTTATTTTTTATAGGAGTGTTTAACTATTTATTTAATTTTTCAGATTCTTTTTTCAAGGTATTTAATTGATTTTTGGGATTTTTATTTATTTATTTAGATATTTAAATTTTTTTTATTTAAAATTATTTTTACTGCAATAAATCTCTTTTCTTTAGGCTTTCTGTGTTTTCTGTTTTACATGTAAGATTTGATTCAGTGAAGAGCACCGTGAGAACACAAACCTTTTTATTCTTCTGTTCTGTATTTTCTGTTCCCGTAGTGACAGATGATAAAAACGATAAAACAGATGAAAGAAACTCATTTGATCTTGTAACGTGCCTTGGAGCTGAGTCAGTTGTAATAAATTTCATTGGTATGAACCTTTTCAGTGAAATGTGACTTTTTCTTTCTGACCAAACACACAGGACTGAGCTTTATTTTGAAATTATAGTAGAGCGGGTCTGTCGGGCTCTAGCAAACAAATATACGATGTTGTCCAGCAGTGACAACATAAAAGTTCCTATAATTGTCTTATCACAGCGATCGGCCTAAATACCAAGACAAATTATTTTAATGTTTTTAAATATCATTTCATTTTAAATAATTTAAAAACATTATACATAATTTTATTTATTTATTTATTTATTTATGTTTAATAATTATATCTATTCACTAAAGTTGCAGCCTACTGCCCATGGAGTCTGAGGTCTGAACATTTTACTGTGGAAACATGAGGAAGCTGCAGCGACATCACACAAGCTTTAACCTACAGGCCTTTATTCTATTTCTTCTCTTTTATATTGGATGATATTTTAACAGGCGTCGTCTCTGTTCTGTCGACTTCATTTACTGTTGATACACACTCAACGCTTGCTGCAGGGGGCGCCGACATGTCGCTGCTGCTGGTTTGGGAGCGTGTGTGAACGAGGAGTCAGGATGGAGCTCCTCGCCAGGGGAGACAGCAGCAGGCCAGTTATTGGCTGGTGGTTACCATGGAAACCACAGCTGCAGGCAGGATGGGTAGATGGAGAATAATGTCTTGCGTGCGCGCACACACACACACACACACACACAGACAGACTGCAGTGTGGAGTCTTTGTCTGCAGAGCTTCTTCAGGTTCACTGCAGCACAAACACACACACAGAAATCTATCTGGTTTTTATCGACCAATCAGAAACCAGCAGAGGTGAGGCGAGCGTGTGTAGATTTTGATTGTAGGGGATTGTGTGTTTAATGCAGCAGGAAACTGACTCAGTTACACACTGTGAGGGGGGGGGGGGACTATGTGACTGCTCATGTCTTTGTGTTGTGACCATGAAGTGGCTGATGTGAAGACGTGAAGTTCTGACTGTTAATTATCCTGATGAGTCGTGATTAGGGGACGTTAACCAGCACAGGTTGTGTGTAACGTTAGATTTCAACGTTATTTCCAAAACGTTATTTCCATTTTGCCGAAGATGACAACATGAGTTGAGCTCAGCACCAACCTAACGCTAACGTTAGCCCCCAGTGGTTCCTGTGGTTCTTCATGCTAAGATAATATTCGCAACATGAGACCAGCTCATGTTACTTATGATGACGCTTGTCGCTTGAGAAGGTGAAAATGCTGAGGTCACAGGAAACTGAAATCAACACGTGACAGTTTTTATTCCTCCTTACCACCGACGGTCAGAGCGGGAAACATCTTGTTTTCAGGTTGTCCGTCCGTCCGTCTCATCCTCCTGGACACGATATCTCAGTAACACCTTGATGGAACTTCTTCAACTTTGGCACAAACATTTACTTGGACTCAAGGATGAACTGATTAGATTTTGGTGGCCAAAGGTCAAGGTCAGTGTGACCTCATAAAACCCTTCACAGCAATTATGACATAATTTCACACCAATGGTTCATATTCTCTCTGACTGGATAAACAGGGATGTGACCTGGAACTAGTCCTAGTGAAGGAGGGATACGACCACGAGGAGGTGACTCTAGTTTCTTTAGTTGTGAAATCAGTGTATAAACGTTATATATCCAAGTCCCGTCTTCTAACTGACCTGAGAGCTGTGAAGAGAAAAAAACACTTTCACTTTGCGTTAGGAACAAATATACCTGGAGCAGGATGAAGCAGTAGGACCAGAATCAGTAGTAGTCGCTCTGAGTATTTTTTGGTTTCTTGCTGCATTGCAGATTTTTCTCTTTTACCAAGAACACACACCTGGACTGTGTGTGTGTGTGTGTGTGTGTGTGTGTGTGTGTGTGTGTGTGTGTGTGTGTGTGGGGACAGTGATGGTTAAGGTGCCCTTGAGTCAGTGCAGCAGCTCACTGTGTGCATGCTAATACACACACACACACACACACACACACACACACAGTGGAGAGTCCAGGGTGGTTTCCTGTTCAAAGGAGTCCTCACATAGACATCACTGTCTTTGTGTGTGTGTGTGTGTGTGTGTGTGTGTGTGTGTGTGTGTGTGTGTGTGTGTGTGTGTGTGTCAGTCAGTCACTGGGAGTGGCAGCTCCTGCTCTGCAGAGAGAGAGAGTGGTAAAGTGAGGTAGGATGTGAAAGGAGTTTTCCATTCACTGCAGTGAAGCTGAAACAACTCGTCAATTAAACGATTAATCAAGTGATAGAAGGTGAATCTGTGACCACTGTGTGTTGGTAATCAGGGAACGTTCGAAGACGTCACATTGGACTTCAGTAAATTCTAACAGACACTTTATGGACCAAACAAATGAATCAGAGAGTTGAGAATCAACCTGAAGAACCAGAAGCTGCAGTTCCTCTAATGGCCACTAGAGTCTGGCTCCAACAGTGAGTCAGTCCCCATAGACTCCCATGTTAAAATGTCCAACTTTACAGCAGAAATCAACATGTTTACAGCCTGGTACAGAAACTGTTTTGGTCTCTAGAGCTAATTTCCTCCTTCATGACACCTGCTTATATAACTCACCTGTTTAAATTCTATTAAGGACTACAGTTATGGAGGATTGAGGGCGTGGCTTCTTTGAATGACAGGTGGGTGATTTACCTGCCACAAACTGACATGCACCAAAGTCTCGGCTCCACACACGGCCCTCCTCTTTGACCATTTTTGGATTAGCCGGGAGTTAGAGGCGGAGTCAAACACTGCCAAGATGGCAACGGTGAAGCAGCTAACAGAGCAGAAACCTGTGGGTGATGTCACAGAGGTGATGGCCATCTTTATTTACAGTCTGTGGTCTTATCTGATAAACAGTGGACCAACAACACATGGAGCGGAATGACAGAGTCCAACGTCCAGGTTCTTAGTTCTTACAACAGCTCTCTGTGTAAAGTTTGTTTCACCTGCTCGTCTCATTGAGACTGAGGTTTTTATTTCAAGAGGAACCTGAGAACAGAGAACCTTCACCGTCCGACCACCATCAAACCAGGTGCAGGGCTGAAGTGAAGCTACCTGAAGACATCAGGTCATAAAGCTTTAGACCACAGGAGGGTCTGTCTGTCCATACATCACTGCTGTCTCCTCCGTTGCTGTGCAGGATGCGGTGGTTGTCATGGTTACGAGCCTCCGGTAGAAAACAGCATTTATTGAGGAATGTGGAGAGGTAACAAAGACAGAGGCAATGTGTCACACGTGGAGCCAGCTGAGCGGAGACTGTTACCGTGTGTGTGTGTGTGTGTGTGTGTGTGTGTGTGTGTGTGTGTGGTGTGTGTGTGTGTTTGTGTGTGTGTGTGTGTGTGTGTGTGTGTGTGTGTGTGTGTGTGTGTGTGTGTGTGTGCGGTTCCTCCTCCCTCATCGTTTCACGCCGTCAACTCCATTTATAGACGATGATGTAAGCACTATCTCTCTCCCAGCATCCCCCGCCACACCCTCGCTCCACCTCCCCCATTCTCAAGTGTCTCAATATGATGCCTTCCCTCCCCCTCTCTCTCTCTCTCTCTCTCTCTCTCTCTCTCTCTGTAACCTCCCACGCTTCTATTTTTTCTTTCTTTCTCTCTGGCTGAAAAATGAGCCGCCATATTTAGTCCCTGTGGCTTCACTTCAGCTGCACTGGTCCTGTTCTGAATCCACTTTGGACCCTTGTTTTGTCCAAACGGGTCCAGATTTAGGACCCAAATTTAGCTCATATATGAGCCAACCCTTGGCCCACATGGATCCAGTGTTTGGTCCAGATGGGTCCACATCTAGCTCATTTAGCTGCCTATGTCCAAATTTAGCCCTGAAGGGTCGACATGTAGCAACATGAGCTCACATTTATCTAATTAGAGTTCACATTAACCCACATTAGACCATATGGGTCCATTCTTTGGCCAAGATGGGTCCAGATTTAGCCCACATAGGTCCACAATGAGACTTTAACATTTATCCCAGATTGGTCCTTAATTAGCACATATAGGTCCACATGTTCAGACTTCATGCGACCACGTGTAACCCAGATGTTTCTATCCCACATGGGTCTACATTCAGCCCAGGAGGAACTTTCCTTATTTACTTACTCACACTTGGAACCGCATTCAGCCCATGAGGACGCAGATGGGTCTTATTTTAGCACAGGGGACCACTTCTGGCCAAGTGGGTCGTAGTGTAAATCCTCCATTTTACCTGAGAGAGAGAGGATGATGGGAAACCACAAGGACAAACTGACTGAAAAGGTCGCCACAGATTGCATTAATATTCATCTCCACCAGCTACTACAAAGCTCCTGAATTATTGGAGTCACGTAAATATCTACAGAGAGGGGGTGGGAGGAGGGAGAGCGGTGGGGGGTTGTAGGAAATCTATTTCTCCCTCTCTCCTCTCTGTGAATGGAAGCTTCTCTCCTCCTTAAGCAGCATCCCCTCTCACTGTCGCCATGGGAAACCACCGAGCTGTTGCCTAGCAACAGCAGCAGCAGCAGCAGCAGCAGACTGTCTGCAGCAGCTGTGTGTGAGTGTTTCTGAGTAAGTGGTGGCCATTTTATCCCCACCCATCACCTTTATACACACACACACACACACACACACACACACACACACACACACATACTCAGACGGCAGGAAAAGCCCATTAGTGTTGGCCATCTGGAGTTTACTGAGTTTCTCCACGGTCTGCTGCCTCTGGAGTCAATCAGAGGACACCACTGTGTGTGTGTGTGTGTGTGTGTGTGTGTGTGTGTGTGTGTGTGTGATCAGCTTTGTGATGAGCGACGATGATACATCCACCCAACAAAAATAAACCCCACCACTGAGCATGTGTGAGCTGCTAAATGTGACAGACATTCACACACACACTCAGCGGTTCTGACAAAGTCAAACTTGTATGAGGAACATCCATCTCTTACCTTGGTGACTCTGTCATCTGTTGGGTGGGTCCAGTAGGTTGAGGTTGCGTGGTGGAGTGCCTCAGGGCGGTGCTCTGGGCCCCTTCCTTGTTTTGCTTTATGGTAACGACATGAAGGCAGCCTGCTCAAGTTCTTTGTTCTTCTTGGTTTATTATGTTTATTTATCCCTCCAAACACTGACAAGTTGAAACAAAATACACTAAAAAACACAAACTTTAAATATTGTAGGTAAGAACCACATGTTGTTTTGGGGTCATTTACATCATCTCTTAACTCTGCTGTTCTCTGGTGGTTTTATTCAGAGGTGACAGCCATCACCGAGGTGCTCCCAGCGTTTCCACAGCAGCGAGGAGAGCCAACGAGGTGCTGAGGGAGATGGGACGTCTGAAGACTGAGATGAAGATGCTGTTGACGGTGAGTAGACGATAAAACGAGACTAGAATACAGTAGAGAATAGTAGAACTTCTATCAGGACCTGATTGGATCATCAAAGAGTTTTTGTTTGTTTGTTGATCTAAAGTCTGAATGACCTTCTGTCATCCAGCAGCCAGAAAACTCTCTGGAAACTACCAGGCCTCCACCAGACCACCACAAGGCCAAAGATCTGCTTCAGTCCCAACAAAACCAGTCCCAACAAAACCAGTCCCAGCAAATCCAGTCCCAACAAAACCAGTCCCAACAAAACCAGTCCCAACAAATCCAGTCCCAACAAAACCAGTCCCAACAAATCCAGTCCCAACAATACCAGTCCCAACAAAACCAGTCCCAACAAAACCAGTCCCAACAAATCCATTCCCAACAAAACCAGTCCCTGCTTCAACGACCTCAGTTCCATCGAAGCCAGTCCGAAACAAACCACTTCCAGTCTCAACAAAATCAACACCAGCAAAACCCGCTTCAGTACCTACAATCCCAGTCACAACAAAACCACCTCCAGGCCCAGCAAAACGAGTCCCTGCTTCAACGACCTCAGTTCCATCGAAGCCAGTCCGAAACAAACAACTTCCAGTCCCAACAAAATCAGTCCCAGATCCAACGACCTCAGCCTCATCAAAACCAGTCACAACCAAACAATTTCCAGTCCCAACAATCCCAATCCCAACAAATCCAGTCCCATCAAAATCCAGCCAAGTTCCATTCCAAGTCCGTGCAGGTCCAGAGGAGGCCTGTGGTTCCGTCCATGTTGGAGGAGGCGGGTCAGGTTCTCCGCCAGGTTCGGAGACAGAAGAAGGTTCTGGAGGAGAACCTGGAGGCGCTGCTGAGAGCCAAGACAGGAGAAGTCCTACACTGCCAACTGGAGGCACTGGCTGCTAACAGGTAGCCAATGCTAACTTTATGTCTGCCAACAGAGAGGCCTAGGTAGTGCTTGTGGGTCCAAATAGATAACTTCATGCTAACGTTGCTGCTATCATTATTTATATACTGTACCTCGCTAACAGCTAGCTTTATTTTTACTATCAGATAGCTAACTGGCTTCATGCCTACTAACACATAATAAACGTTTACCCGCTAACAAACGGAATGTGATGAGAATGTAATGCTATGCTAACAGATAGCTAGCATTAAATATGTGTCCACTTACTGCTAGCTTGTGGTAACTTAACTCTGCTAACTGGTGGCTAAAATTAACTAAATATGTAAAAGAGCCACCTAATAACTAATAACTTAACTTGAGGACTACTAACAGTAGGGCTTGCTAATGCTAACTATGTGCGTGCTAATCGGTAACTAATGGTTAACATTGTTTTTAAACCTGCTAATCAGTAGCTAACAGGTTTCATGTCTGCTAACTGGTAGCTAACATTAAATTTTATGTACACAGATAGCTGATGCTAACTAAATCTCTGCTAACTTGTACCCAACTAAATGTTGGCTAACTGGTACCTTATGTTAACTTTATGCTAATGCTTATGTGGGTAACTAAAAGCTAATGCTAACTTTATCTCTTATCAGTATCATATATGAAAAGATTACTAACATTTTCTAATCTGTTAACAGGAAGCTAACACTTATTTTTCAACACATAGCTAAAGGGCTTATTGATGTCATGCCTGCTAACACATATTCAAAAATAACTACAGTACATACCTGCCAACTGGTGGCTAACATGAACACTGCTCAGTCTGTTTAAAGGTAGCGAACAGTTATTAATTTACTGTCAGTGAATTTTTCTGTAGTTGTTAAAAATACTCTAAATTATAAAAAATCAAAAATAAGAAGCAGATTAATTGTAAAACACAAATATTAATTTTAATAGTTTGGTTTTATATCTGAAGAACAGGTGGAAGACGTTCAGATCTCTTACTTCAATCAAACTAGTGATACCAGGGTTTAGAAATACAATACATACAGTACAAGCCCAGTATTTACCAAAGTAAAAGCACAAAAGCATTAGCATCAACATGTTCTTTAAAAAGTAAAACTATGCATTTCAGAATAATATATATTATATAATGGAATTAATGTGTTGGAGCTGATGACTGTACACACTGCTGGGTAGTTTAATCCGTAATAATACATCATAATTTATGTGTGTGTATACTGGTGTGTGTGTGTGTGTGTGTGTGATGGTATTGATTGACAGCTGCCTTAGAGCATCCTGCCGGCAGTGTTGAGGTGACTTTGATTGACAGCTGTCAGCCTGAAGAGCTTCTGTCTCTGTTCAGATTCTCTCTCTGCTGTCGACCTGTTTCTGCTGGGGTTTTTTTGTTCTCCAGACTTAAAAATTAAAATGTACGTCTGTTTTCACACGGAATATAAAATCTGCTGAAGAGCGTGTGACCGTCTGTCCATTCGGCTGCTCTGATCTCTTTGTGTTTAGTTTGTGTCCTCTGTCCTCTGCAGAGACTCGACCGAGGAGGTCCGGATCAAGAAGACTGTGGACGCCTGGATCAGCACTTTATCCAAAGACGTGCAGGTGAGTTCAGTGTAACATGTTAATCAGTGATCTTTAGAGATGCTCGTAGATGGATGTGGTTTCCTTTGGACAGAGCCAAGCTAGCTGTTTCCCACTGTTTCTAGTCTTTATGTTAAGCTAGGCTAACCAGCTGCTAGCTGTAGCTTCATATCACATCAAATTCCCATCGCAACTTTGCAGAGCCCAAAATGACGTTTTAAAAAGTCCAAACCTCACAGGTGTTCAGTTTATTATTGTGATGAGAGATGAGCTGCGTGTTAACTGATTATCCAAACGGCTGAATTATTATTTATGTCATTCTGTTCTCATTCTTCCACATATCTGCAGTCTGAAAAACATTAAATTCCCTTCTTTCAAAAAAATTATATAAATATTAAATAAATTTAAATGTTTTCCTCTTTAAAAAGTTTCAAGCTCATTTTGAATCGTTTTTATCTTCAGCAAAAACTGGATGGAAATTCCTCTGACCTCTGACCTGAAGTAAAATGAATATGTAGAGTTTAAATAAATTATGATTGGATTATAATTATATTTAATTATTCGACTGATCACCAGGTGTTAAAATGGTTTTGAATTGATTTGTTGAACCTGCAAAAACACTGACGTCTTGTCTTCTGATCCTCAGGCTGAGACGTCCTCTGAGGATGCTGTGGTGACATCACAGCTGGTGGCTGCTGGGAGCTCCGCCCACTCAGGGAGAGGGAGGCCACTGAGCGCGCTCAGAGGGAGAGGAGGCCGAGGGCCGAGAGCTCGACACAGAGTGGTCAGACTGGACTCTGATTGATTTGTTCAGTAACACCAGCTGATCATTCAGTTTTATTGATGATGTCTGATTGCAGGTGCAGGGGGCGGAGCCTGGCAGCACAGTCCCAGGTGTGCCGACAGACAGTGAAAAGGGGGAGGGAGAGTCGTACCTGACACATCTGTACGGCAGAGCTCCTTATGAAGGTCTGAGACGAACTCTGAAGAAGAGTCCGTACCTGCGCTTCAGCTCACCTGTGTCACCGCCCAGCAGGAAGCCCCGCCCCTGCCTGGTGGAGAGCGTCAGAGGTTTGTTTGATTTTTTAGGGGGGGTCATGTTCCATATAACAGCAGCATCACTGTCATGTTTCTGCCACTGTCAATAAAGTTTTTACAAACGTCTGTCTCTCAGGTGTGAAGGTGAAGTCCTGTAAGACTCAGACCAGCTTGGCTCCTCCACTCAGTCCATCACCCGGACGACCTCATCATCGCCTTGTCTTCGGCTCCTCCCACATGGCCTCTAGTGACCCCGCTGACTCTTATTCTGTTCCCATGGCGATCCCACTGGGTCTGTTCACGTCCACAGATTATTAACTCTCCCCTGGAGGTTTTACAATAGAAATAAAGTTTACTGTCCACCCCCCCCACCCCCAGGTCGTCGCAGGATGGATTCTTCCTCCAGGTGTTTTACTGAGCGTCTGCAGGAAGTGACATCTCCACCTGCACCTCCTCCCACTTCTGGTGCAGTTGCCATGGTGGCTGGAGCACCTGAGCGACAGTCACAGGTGAGCTGGTCTGATTGATTGTGTATTAGTAAGCTTCTGTTACCTGAGTAAAATGATGATGTCATGTGGAGGTGAACACAGCTGGAAGAACATCATTCAAACATCAGGCTGAAAACAGCAGTGATGTGAAAAACAAGCAGAAAGCTGCAGGTCAGAGGTCAGAGGTCACTGACAGGTGTTGTTGTGTCGACAGAGGGAGGAGCAGCTGGATGCAAGTGAAGCTCCTCCTCCATCACACATCATCATTGAGACGAAGAGCGAGGAAGAGGAGGATGAGGAGAACGTCTTCCCTGGAACTGACTTCCTGTCTGCAGCTGATGTCGTCCAGGTAACCTTCATCTTCCTCCTGCTGTAGGAAGTGGTTTCAGCTGCGACTCAGCTGCAGTCCCACAGCTCCACCTGCTGGACGTAGACAGAAGCCCGCCTCCTGATCCAGACTCAACACTGCACCTGATCCCACTGTAGAATATCAGAGTCAGTTACAAAGTCATTGAAATCCGTCCTGTGGGTAAAACTCTGTGGTAAAAGATGTGTTTCCTATTCCAGAAATGGCGGCCATCTTGAAATTTTGAAATTTCAAGTGGCTAATGTAATTTTTCCAATGAATGGCCTCAGAGAGAGAAACAAGCCACATTTGGAAAAGATTATTTTGCTTTAAAAATGAAGAAGCAGCAGATTGTCACTTTTCAGAAGCTGGAACAACATTAAATTTATTTTTGCTTGATAAATGATTAATCAATTATAAGTAAAGTCGTCCTCTTCCACTCAAACTGAAGGAATTTCATCATTATTCACTGTTTTACCTGAAGTCAGTGAATCAGTTCGCTGCAGGAGGTTTCACTTTTTTATCATATTGAACTGAAGGTTTTGTGTCTCAGTTTCTTTCTTTTCATACATTTTATTATTATGTTAAATTAACTGTAACGTCTGATCTTAACCTTCATACATGATCCCGCCGCTCCTCCTCTCCCCCTCTCCCCTCCCCTCAGGAGGAGGTGAGTGTGGTGGGTGAGGAGGCTGTGGAGTTGGACGGGGGTCTGTCTCCTCCTCCGGTCCTGTACCAGGGTCCTGTCTTCCCTCCCCAGGCCCGTTCTGCCCTCCCTGCCCAGGGTCAGACCTCCATCCTGGACACCGACAACCAGAGAGACGCCCTGGAGAACCGGCTGGTAGAATGGTGAGACACCAGTCTGAACCGGTCTGAACTGGTCTGAACTGGTCTGAACCGGTCTGAACCGGTCTGAACCGGTCTGAACTGGATGCCGACAGCATGTTGTGGTTCTGTTATATTCTGTTTGTTTCTGTTCAGGGTGGAGCAGCAGCTGATGTCCAGGATGATCTCAGAGATGTACCGCCCCCCTCCCTCTGACCCCGCCCAGAATGTTTCCACAGACCAATCAGAGCTTGAGGAGCGGAGCGTCACCTCAGACATAGGTGAGTGGACAGACAGATGGACCAATCAGAGCAGGTTTCTGCAGACAGGCTGGAGGCTTCATGTGGACCTGGTCTCAGTCCCGGTCCAAGACTGACTGTGGAGGTTCTGACCTGTGGACTGTTGTGTGTTCAGTGGAGGCTGCAGGGGGCGGAGGTCTGCAGCTGTTTGTGGACTCCAGAGTGTCGGTGGACTCGGCTCTGATCCGGCAGCTGGTTAATGAGGTTCTGACAGAGATTGTGGTTCTGATGCTGGGACAGAGAGACGCACTGGACACGGGACCAGGACCAGGACTGGGACCACCAAAACCAGAACCAGCAAGAGATCAGGAGGTACGAAACCTGAGGACAGAGAAAAACTCAAGTCTAAAGTGTCTCTGTGTTCTGATCTGGATCCAGCTTCTTCTTTTCCAGGACAAACTGGTTCCTCTGGTTCCTACGCCAGTGCCGACCCCTCCACCCACTCTGACCCCGCCCACCGGACAGACCACGCCCCCTACAACACCCCCTCCATCTGAACCGACCAGTCTGCTGAACGAGGAGTCTCCTCAGCCAATCACAGCGCCAGGTTGGAAACAGCAGCTGCATTAGCTCTGTTAGCAGTAGTATTTAGTAGTAGCATTGAAATTAACAATAGCAGTAGTAGCACTGCTACTTCTATTAGCATTAATTATAGTTATATTATAGTAATAATAGTGTTAATATCAACAATGAGAAATAATAGTGCCAGTGTTAGCGTTAGTCACAGTAGTAGCAGTACAAGTGTTAGCATCTGTAATATTACTAATATAAACATTGGCAAAAGTAGAGTTGACATTATTAGCAACATTAGCGTAGTGTTAGCATTATTAGCATCACTGTCAAACTGTTTGATCTTGTGTCTGAAAACTGAAAAGATGATGATCTCAAGAGGAAATGAAAGAGCTGTAGTCTGTTTCTCTCTAACTGTGACCTCAGAGCTTGTGATCACACCCACACCCAGTCCAGACCCCGCCCCCTCCGCAGGAAGTCCACCTGCCCTTCATCAAGTGCCGTGCGCTCTGACCTGGGGAGATGCTGAGCTGCCATTGGACGAGGAGAGACCAGAGGAACACTTGGGTACACACAAGCATCTGCTGGTGATGTCAGTAGCAGAGGAGGAGCCTCCTGTCTCCTCTCCCCTTCCTCCCCCTCCTCCCTCCATCCCGCCTGCTCCGTCCCTGTCTCCTCCTCGTCCCGATCCTGACCCCGGACCAGCGTCCCCCTCCAGCTCCTCAGGCGACTCCAGCAGCAGCAGCAGCTCCAGCTCCAGCAGCAGCACAGTGACTGCAGCACTGAAACACATCTCAGAGGGAGAACTGCTCATCAGCGTCAACCAGCTGGCTGCCATGACAGGTATCATCATCATCATCATCATCATCATCATCATCATCATCATCATCATCATCATCATCGCCACCATCATCTTCATTCAACAAACTTCCACACAAACAGACAAAACATTTCAACTTTTCTTCTTCTTGTTTAAACTGATCATTAACAACAACACACACAGAGGCCGTGATCTGTGGCGCCACCTCTGGTCTTAGGCTGCGTCCACACGACTACGTTTTTAAAACTGTGTTTTAATTAGCGTCATTAACTTAGCGTTCTGTCTGACTCTGACTCTGTCTCTGTCTCTGACTCTGTCTCTGTCTCTGTCTCTGACTCTGTCTCTGTCTCTGTCTCTGACTCTGTCTCTGTGTCTGTCTCTGTCTCTGTGTCTGTCTCTGTGTCTGACTCTGTCTCTGTCTCTGACTCTGTCTCTGTGTCTGTCTCTGTCTCTGACTCTGTCTCTGTGTCTGTCTCTGTGTCTGTCTCTGTGTCTGTCTCTGTGTCTGTCTCTGTGTCTGACTCTGTCTCTGTGTCTGTGTCTATGTCTGTCTCTGTCTCTGTCTCTGACTCTGTCTCTGACTCTGTCTCTGTGTCTATGTCTGTCTCTGTCTCTGACTCTGTCTCTGTGTCTGTCTCTGTCTCTGTCTCTGTCTCTGTGTCTGTCTCTCAGAGGACGAGGTCGTCTGCAGTTTCTCCAGCTCTCTGCAGGAGCTGCAGGACATGGTGAGACACAGTTTGTATTTTTCAAAGGTTGTTTGTCCCCCACTGATCGACACCAGCTGGAGGAGTTCAGTTTTACCTGTCTGTCCCTCCTCCAGGACTATGACCCCCCCAGTGAAGGGCAGGTCAGAGGTCACGACCTCCTGCTGACCCTGCTGACCAAAATGGAGCAGGGAGTCACACACCAAGGAGAAAGACCACAACCAGAGGTTCAAACACACACGCAAACACGCAAACACACACACACACACACACACACACACAGTGACCGTTGACCTGCTGTGTCCTCAGGGCTCCTGGGGGAGGGAGGACCAGGATCAGGAGGAGGAGGTGAGTGCAGGAGAGGTGAGAGACGATGTGACTACAAAACCTCTCAGGACTACAAATCCCAGAAGCTACAGTAAGAGTACGGCAGCCCGGCAGGGTCAAACCTCCTCACCTGGACAAATCAGTCAGTGTGCAGGTACGACTGAGGGCAAAATCCAGTGTGCTGTGTGTCAGGTGGTGACATCATCGCTGTGTGACCTCTGACCTCTGTCTGCTTCCTCAGACGTGTCAGAGCTCAGTCTTGACGCGACCAATCAGGGCTCAGTTACCATGGGCGACCTGATGATGGAGCCACAGGGTACACTGACCTCTGACCTCCACACCGACCTGTCACTGTCTCCTCCTCCTCACGGAGGACAGGTGAGACACACACACACACACACACACACACTAAAAAGAAACCACTGTAGTGAGACAACATTAACTCTGTGTGTGTGTGTGTGTGTGTGTGTGTGTGTGTAGGTTGTTCCCGCCCTGGTCAGACAGTCCGACGGACAAACAGGTAGGAAACACTTCCTGTGTTTGTTTTTTACTCCTGTTCACTGACTCTTACTGCAGTCAGGGCTGTGGTTACCATAGTTACCATCATTCAACAATTACACAACAAAGAGACACACACATGTTGATTATTTCATTGGCTTTCTGATTAAACAAATCTACTCTCAGAGCCAATCAATCAATAATATTAGGATTTCTCACCAGTTCAATCATTTAGATTCTCATTGATCAAATTAACATTTAACAGTTTAATTACGAGAAAATCCAAATAATAATAAAAATAAATGTTTTTAGTGTCAAATCTAAAATAACCATCAGACAGAAGCAGCTTCATTTTCATTCACATTTTTTTTAGTTAAAAAAAGAAAGTTTATTTAAATCATAAAGTGTTTGAAGTCAAAACTGTGGCGACAAACTGCAGAGCATCATCTGAGCAGCAGAGGGCGCCATGTCTCTGTCCACTGCCCCTCAGTCAGCTGATTCACTACAATCAGCTGATTCACACTTCAGTGTTTAATCACAAAGTTTATTTACATTTTATAAAAACCTGATTATACAACTTTATATGAAACCACTTCTCACACGGAGACGACAAACGCAGAGAAGAATCAGGAAGAACTGAGTGAAGAGAAGAAAACAGCACACACACACACACACACACACACGCACACACGTACACACACACACGTACACACACACACACACACACGTACACACACACACGTACACACACACACACACACACAGTTAAAACATCATTATGTGTGTGTGTAGCGCCACACTGACTCCACATCGCCATACATGGTAATGTTTACACTGGCTGAGTTGTTTTAGTGTATTGTTACACTCTGTGTCTGTGTGTGTGTACGTGTGTGTGTGAGTGTGTGTGTGTACGAGTGTGTGTCTGTGTGTGTTGTAGCGTGTGTGTGTGGAGTGTGTGTGTGTACTGTGTGTGTGTACGTGTGTGTGTGAGTGTGTCTGTGTGTCTGTGTGTGTGTGTGTCTGTGTGTGTGAGTGTGTGTGAGTGTGTGTGTGTTCTGTGTTGGTGTGTGTGTGTGTGTGTGTGTGTGTGTGTGTAGTGCTCAGTATGTTATAATAATCTTCTCTATAATCACAACAGTAACAAGAGCAGTTCTGTTTCCTGCAGCTTCACAAGCTCAGTCTCATAGTCACTGATGAACGGATGAACTGGTTGGTGAACGGATGAACTGGTTGGTGAACGGATGAACTGGTTGATGAACGGATGAACTGGTTGATGAACGGATGAACTGGTTGGTGAACGGATGAACTGCTCGGTCACAGATCACGGCTCCAGGTGTCTGAGCTGATGGTTCTGTTCGATGGCTGCAGACCGCAGGTAGAGCGTTCTCATCACGTTTCACCAACCAATCCTATAAGTGTGTGTGTGTGTGTGTGTGTGTGTGTGTGTGCGCGTGCGCGCGTGCGTGCGTGCGTGCGTGTGTTTGTGTGTGTGAAGTTGAAGGTCTGTCAGTTTCATCGTTGTCTCCTTAATTAGAACAAGCTCAGTAACCGTGACAACCAGCTAATGGGAGGGACATTTTGTCAGTGCGTTACCATGGAGATTCAGAGATAGACAGGACAGATTTTTATGTAGAGACGGAGGATTTTTTTTATGTCTCTCTACGTGGAGCAGGATCAAAGACTGGCTGAAGGTCCCGGTGCTGGATCAGGATCTGGATCAGGATCTGGATCAGAAGCATCAGTGTGTGTCTGCAGTCGGATTCAAACAGCTGTGTCCATGTTCACAGAACACCTGGATCCAAGAACAGCTCAGTTCAGATCTTTATTGTCCCACAAGAAGAAATCCTCTCTGCTGTGAGGACACCTGAGGACACCTGAAGACCCTGAGTACACCTGAAGACCCTGAAGACACCTGAGGACACCTGAAGACCCTGAAGACCCCTGAGGACACCTGAAGACCCTGAAGACCCCTGAGGACACCTGAAGACCCTGAAGACCCCTGAGGACACCTGAAGACCCTGAAGACCCCTGAGGACACCTGAAGACCCTGAAGACCCCTGAGGACACCTGAAGACCCTGAAGACCCCTGAGGACACCTGAAGACCCTGAAGACCCCTGAGGACACCTGAAGACCCTGAAGACCCCTGAGGACACCTGAAGACCCTGAAGACCCCTGAGGACACCTGAAGACCCTGAAGACCCCTGAGGACACCTGAAGACCCTGAAGACCCCTGAGGACACCTGAAGACCCTGAAGACCCCTGAGGACACCTGAAGACCCTGAAGACCCCTGAGGACACCTGAAGACCCTGAAGACCCCTGAGGACACCTGAAGACCCTGAAGACACCTGAGGACACCTGAGTACACCTAAAGACCCTGAGTACACCTGAAGACCCTGAAGACACCTGAAGACACCTGAGGACACCTGAGAACACCTGAAGACACCTGAGGACACCTGAAGACACCTGAGGACACCTGAAGACACCTGAGTGCTGCAGCTGCACACTGACACACCTCAATGTCAATTAGAACTGAGCGAACTCCAACTCAGCTCCACTCTGTGGTCCTGATCCTGGTCTTAGTCCTGGTTCTGGTTCTGGTCCCGTTCCTGGTTCTGGTCCTGGCCCTGGTCCTGGTCCTGGTTCTGTATGAAACTCTCAGACTGATGTTTGACTTGCTGAGAGAAACCAACTGAACTCACAGGCTGAGACAGAGAGCTGCTGTTAATGCTGCTGTTGACACACACACACACACACACACACACACACACACACACACACACACACACACACACACACACTGAGCTCAGTGTTTCTCTGTTTTTACCAAAATCCTCCTTCAGCTGCTCACAGTGCCTCCATTCACACACCCTGACTCCGTCTGTGTGTTTACGCACACACACACACACACACACACACACACACACACACACACACACACACACACTCTCAGATTTGTTTCCAAGACGACGTCGACTTGAAACTTAAATGTAAAAACATCTTTTTCTCTCTGTTTCTCTCAGCGATCAATAAAGTTGAATTGAAGTTTGATCCTTCACACAGGTGTCAGGATCTCTTGCCGCTGGTTCCTGTATTTTATTCACGATAATCTTGTGTCTCTGTTTCCATGGTAACGTGAAGTTTACCTGCAGTAACGTGAGTGAACTGGAACTGATGAGCTGGGTTTGTTTCTGCAGCCGGACACGAGCAGGAGGAGGAGGGAGGATCCAGGAGGATGGATGTTCATCTGCCCTCCATCAGACCAGAGGAGGAGGAGGAGGAGGAGGAGAGGTGATGGAGGAGGTGATGGAGGAGGTCAGCGCAGCAGCAGACACAGACTCCTCCACCAGCGATGTTTTCTAGAGAGAAAAGTGACGTCTGTCCATCAGATTTCTCCTCTTCCTCTTTCACAGCAAACACACTTTTCTGTCTGGTAACACGTTACTCCGACGCTCCGTTTGTCCCTTAACAACCACATGTAATAACATGTAATAACATAAACATGTAACAACTGGTCTACAGATCAGTTTCCTTTACAATCGACACACGACAAAGAAAACGATGTCGTCGTGAAGCTGGAACCAAACGACCTCAGTGATTCATCAATTATCAAACTAGTTGCTGATTGATCGACTCGTTGTTTCAGCCTTTTATTTCTGTAACCGTCACAAAGTCACCGGTTAATGAGAAATATAAAAACGTCTCTGAGCTTCTGCATCAACAACATGTTCTTACATGTTTATCTCCGCGTCTTTTAAAGTCACTCCTGATGCTCCGGCCTGTGTGTTACAGTCAATCTGGTCCCAGTGAAACACTGACTGGTTCCTGCTGGTTCTCATCTGTCCAAGTGTTTCTCTTGTTCAGTCGAGAACCAGCAGGAACCGGTTCTACTGTCGTTTCCTGTTTCACTGGGACCAGATTGACTGTGACACACAGGCTGGATCGCGGCTGGTAGCAGAAACATTTTGCAGCTTTAAACCGATGTTTGATCCACCGCTTGTGTCTTATCAGTGGAATGCAGCTGAGAAACTGTGAGCCGATCAGTGATCAATAACACTGATCGTCATGTTCTGTGTAAACAAATAAAGGAAGGCTTTTCATAAACGTCGTGGCTGTCAGGTGTGATGTGTTTCAGGACGTCCCGCTGCTTCCTCTCAGCTTCTTTCTTCTTCAGACTTGGTGCAAACGTTCACTTCGACTCAACGATGAACTGATCAGAATTTGGTGGTTAAAGGTCAAAGGTCACTGTGATGGCTAATCCATTAAAACCGCCGGAGGTTAGGTGGCCGCATCAAGACGTTTGGCTCATCACTGTGGAGCGACGTAGAAGTCGGACGCCATGACCCGGAGTTCAACGAACTAACGGTTTTATTTACAAACAGAATTTAACCAATAAAGTCCCAGAACATTCCAGAATCCAAACAAACTGAAAACAGGACGATCAAACCTCCAACATCCAACCAGTAGATTTTTCTTGTTTTTAC